CTTTTTATACTAATGTCCCCAGCCCAAAAATAAAAATACAAAGTTTGGTCATTAGTGCGAGCAGTGCACTCACTGCTTGACCTCAAAACTCCACCTACAAGCACAGCCATTGGCTCATGAGCCACTGAATGCTGTGGTATTTACTGGCTCCCTACAAAACATCTGCATTAATTAGGATGTGCCACATGTAAATAATGTGTAAATGTAGTCCACATATGTACTTTTTACAACTTTGATGAATAAGAGCCTAAGAGAGCATCTAGGCACAGCGCCAATACTGTATATCCAATTTGTACAGCCAACTCTTCATAAATATATAATGAACAGCTGACTAATAAACATGCTGTAGAAAAACAAATGAACTAATGGAACTAAATCGCTGTTTTTTTAACAATCACAATACATTCAGTCACTTCAATGGGTAGTTTTTAGTACTTTAACTATTCTTTAGGCTGTAAAGCCTTAATGATTCTGGCCATTAAAGTTTCTCCGTGTGCACTGTACACCATATGTTTATAGCCAACTTGTTAGCTTTAGAACTTTCTAAGGTATTAGGCAAATCATAACACTAGTCAGGGGGGAAAAAAAAAACAAAAAAACAGCGATGCACCTTTCAAAACGTCAAGGTTCATGGTGTGCTTTTTTTTGTGTGATATTGTCAGGCATTGTACAAATCCTACATGCACTTGGGTATATATGAATCATTTGCAAAGTAAAATAATTACATCTGCACTTACAATTTGCACATAGGGTTATAATGTGTTTTATACAGCTAGTTAAACAAGCAGCTTAATAAGAGAAACAAAAACATGCTGATGAAGGCAAAAAGAAATGTGTTCTGTATGGTAAAGTACCTTGTGTGGCATCCTGGACTATATGAAAAGGGATAAGTTTTCCCTTATGAGTCTTGGGGAAAATGCCTGCTTTCCTTGGCACATCCTCTGGAGGGTTATTCAACATCTATGACATACATGGTAGACATCCAGTGTGTTAATGACAGCAAAAAAGAAAACCCTCTAGGCATGTATGGGTTAAAGGAATAGCTGAATGAAGAGAAAAGGGTAAAAAGGCAAGACTCATATTTTGCTTGTTTAGTATAGCAAAGGAGCAACAAAGGACAGCAGTGCTACTGATGAATTAAATCAAAATCCTAAATGTAATAGAAAAATCAATCCTTTTGTATAGTATCAGATACCTCAATGGCTTTATGTGCTTGCTCTTCCGTCTCAAACTCCACAAAGGCAAAGCCCTTCGGTTGCCCTGAGACCCTGTACCTTGGCAGACTAACGTACACTACATTTCCACACTTGCTAAACACTCTTTCTATCCAAACATGGGTCACATTGTATGGTAGGAGCTCCTGAAAGAAAATAACACCAATTTGAAGCCTTTACAACAAAACATTTAAAAAAAAAAAAATCAACAAATAAAAAAAATCACAAGCACGGGAATATTTACCACATATACTGTGCGGCTGTCCACGTCTTTTGGACTATCCCCAATTGGGTTTTTTCGCCTTACTTGAGTTCCTTCGAGATTAACCTTACAGAAAAACAAAATATTAAACATCAATACAGCCAGAACAGGTATGACCTGCTCTTAAACATAATGACTTTTATAGTGCACAAGTAAATCTTACCTCTACCAATTCAGAATTTTTGAGGGCTCTTGCTATCAATTTGATATCTGTGGTCAACTTTTTCATTCGATTGAATGTTGTTAGGAGAGATATATCAACATCTACAAAGCAAGAGCAAAACATCCAATTAGTCACTTGTGTTCACATTTCTAATTCATCTATAAAAGCTGGGACTGTCTGATTTTGTTACTGCCCCAAGTAACAGATAAAGGCATTATACAGAGTTTGAATGTGATATATTGTAATCAACTTGAAAGAGCATTAGGATCAAATAAAGAAAAAAAAAAAAGAAAAGCTAATGGTTCAGGGTAATCTTTTCATACATCCATCTCTTGACTGTGTAATGACAGTCTTCAGATATTTGTCCTTGTGGAGGTTCACATCATCAAACCAGAATTCCACTTGTTTCTTCACATCTGCCAGCAACTGCTTCACCCGAGACCTCTTCTTTTTCTCATTCTCTTGCTTCTTCTCACTCAGCTCCTTGGTGGACAAGTCGCCGCCAATCGACATATTCTCGGTGTCCGTCATACCTGTAATTTGAAAGGTAACACAAGGTAAAGCCTGTGTAAGTTATGAGTTACACTGCATGCCCATAAGTTTGCAGAAACCTGCTCATCCAATGTTTCTTTTGAATTTAAGAGTAGTAATATAGAGAGTTTGCCCACCCACCCCATGCTGCAGTAACAAACTCTACTCTTCTGAAAAGGCTTTCCACTAGATGTTGGGGCATTACTGTTGGAGCATTCAGCTACAAGAGCATTAGTGATGTCAGATACTGATATTGAATAATTAGTTCTGGATCATTCCAGCTCAGCCCAAAGGTACCGGATAGAGCTCCAACACTCTGGATAACTCAGTTCCACTGATCCACACCTCTAGCTGACACTTTCCATTGGACACGGTGACCTTGTAGTGTATGGCTGCTTTAGACCTGTGCTTTTCAACTCCAGCCCTGGGGACTCACTATCCTGCACGGTTTGATGTACTCTCGGCCTCAACACGCTTGATTCAGTTCGTGAAGAACTTGATAATTACCTGATCAGCTGGATCGGCTGTGCTGAGACAGGGAATTGCTGAAACCTCAACAATGAGTGCATCTTAAAGTAGCTGAATTTGCTAATTAGAAGGGGAGTCTGGATACTTTTGGACATACAGTGGACATTTCTATTCCAACCAAGCGCAAAAGCACACCCCAAATAACAAATAACTAGTCAGCTGTTTGGAAACTGGGACCAAGTGATTAATTAAGTGGAATGAGGGCCGTTTGGAATGAAACCCTACAGCCACACCGATCCTTTGTGAGAATAACACTGGTGAGCCCTGAGTTAAGCTAACGAACAAGCCATTCCTGAGCTGAAGTGGGTTTGTTGGAGCAAAGAACACATTAAGCTGTGTAAGGGAGGGCTTATAGGGCTGAGAAACACTGCTTTAGCTTACCTGCTTGTCGAGGGGAAAGCGCGAAACTCAAACTAGCCTCATATGAGCAGCGAGTGAGAGAGCTGCACACGGTACTTCTGACTGACTGACTGTGGAGAACGTTTCAGCAGCGTCGCAGCTCTTCTAGAATTTCGTACAGCACAAACAGCAGACAACTCCTCTTAAAAACGGCGCTGTCGATACGTGCCTGTTTTGTCGAGTCTTCGGGGCTTAAACCAGAAGCAGCTTTAACTTTTGTTTTAACAAAAACAAAAACAATCTGAAAGTTTTCAGCTGTAAGTTAAGCGTGTAAGACTCTGGGCGCACACCGATGACGTAGCATAGTGTGCGCGCTGGTGTACCCGCTCCTCCTCCACACACACACACACAGTAAACCTACAGCAACATATCACCAATAAAGCTGGTGGGGGTTCATTTAAAATCTTTCACCATATTTTCCTTGTTCATGAAAAGATATTAATGTTTGGGAAGGATATTCTTTTGTCATGAGTTCTCTGCACTGTTGAGACTGAAATCAATTTTCAATGTATTTTTTCATAATTGGAGTAACTTTGAACATCTTCTTAAAGATAACCACAGACAGACAGGCTTACAAAGAAAAAGATACTTTATTGTTTTGTTGTGGAAATATAGATTATTAACTTTGGTACATCGTTAATTAAAAATGTCAATTTTATAAATGCAAATTGGTAAAAACGAAACCTGTGTAAAATATAAATGGATTGTTATATACATACACAGACAAAGCAAAGAAAACTAGAACACTGTAAAATCTCAAATTTTGTAAAAACTCAATCTTTATTTCTTTCTTTCTTTGATTTTAAGTGTACCATAACGTCTTTACACCAGCGTTCTTTATATAGAAGCAGATATATTTTTTGTCTCTCTAGCTGAAGGAGGGATTAAAGATTGTATTGTAAAAGTTATTCATATGTACCAGTGTAAAACAAAGGAAAACACAGGCTATAATCGTTTTAAAATGTATCTTTTATTATTGCACTACATTTTTGCTAATTACTTCAATATGCAATTTAATAACATATAGAATACATTATACATAGTATAAATACACTATATAGTCAAAAGTATGTGGACACCCTCCTCAGTTCAGGTGTTTCAGCCACACCCATTGCTACAGGGGTATAAAATCAAGAACATATCCATGCAATCTCCTTAGACAAATATTGTCAGTAGACTGGTTCATTGTGAAGAGCTCGGTGACTACATGTCAGTTTGTGAAATTTCTGTCCTACTAGATCTGCCCCACTTAACTGTAAGTGCTTTTATTGTGAAATGAAAGTCCACGAGCAACAACAACTTAGCCACAAAACAGTAGATCATGTAAACTCTGCTGAATCACTTACTGCAAAATTCCCAACTGTTTTGGAAAACAACATCAGCAAAAGAACTACAATCTAAATCACTCCATTCAGTTCTGGAGTGAAATTGCTCTAGAACTCAAAATGGCAATAAAAAAACGACAAGATGTTCACTTAACACCACTGGTATGCAACTTTATTATTAAGCCATGCATAGCAGCATACTCTCATCACTGATTAGTAATGACACTGACAGTTAACACTGGGTTCTATGCAGCATCCCATCACTACTTCATTCCTTTAAAGTTAAGGTGTGCAAAACAGACACATTTAACCCCTTACCAAGCCATGAGCCCACTGAGTTTAACTACACACTTCTATAGCCTAAGAAGAGCTCCATTAGTTTGCATTGGAGTCCCTGTAGTTAGTGAATAATAAGCCTTAGTATGTAATAAGCCTGGTATGTTAAGGGGTCAACATAAATGTTTTGTAAATTCAAAATCTAATCACAGAAATAAAATATTACTATAAAATAAATGTAAAAAGACTGTATAATAATATTAATGATAAATAAATAGATAATATGCAAGAAAAAAATACAGTAGCCATTCTGCATTAAGGTTTAATATATAAAACATCATATAAATGAGATCACTCCCATTAGTGATGGCATTAAAAATAGCTTGATAACGTCACCATTATTTCTAAAATATGTTATGAGGTCAAAATCGCCTCAAACTTCTTCAGTTTCCGCTGCACATCCTCTTCCAGGCACTGCTCTATTCGTGTCCTTATCAGACGTGTCAAGCCCACATAGAAGGTCTTGGCCCAGGAGCCTTCTAGAGTGCAGACAGATCTGTCGCACACTTTGTGCAGAAATGTCACCAACTTCTCACTGCTGCTGACCTCACATCTCTGAAGAACCCACTTAGCCCAGTCCTCCCACATACTGTCATCTGTGAAGGACACAGTGAAGCACCGTCCAGGACAGAGGCTGTTGAGCTGTTCTCCTTCATCAACATTTACATTATTCCAGATAACACTGAAAAATAAATAAGAATAATTAAAAAATTAAACAGGCTTGTTGTTCATATTTTCCTTTTCAATGAACTTCTTGTGCTTTCAGATGTTCCAAGAGCCTTATTAATGTCATTGTATTTATACAGAATGGAGCATATAATTAACTGTTCTTCACTTACACGACTCTCTTCAGAGGAGACGGTGTTAAGGCACTTAATGATGACAAGCCTGCAAGGCTGATTCTGTTCCCCTCCAACCTGAGCAAAAAAACTCAGCCTCAGTATTCAATAATGATGCTGTATTTTGCCTCCATACTTTAAGACAATAATGTACTGAATGCATCAAGTGTTATAAGCTTCTAAAACAAGTTTATATGAATCACTCAACCGAGTTCATGCTGTGGTCTCACAGTAAAAAAAAAATTAAACCAATTACAGATTCAGATGTTAGAAATTACATTAGATAACGCATTAATAGAGAAAGTAATGAGCTAAATATATACAAAATCATCATTTATTTACTTTCTTTTTGGGGTGACTGTCCCAAACCCTAGCCCCCACATTTCAAATTGTGAAAATAGTGCTTAAAATGTTTTTTTTCACTGTTGTTTTTTAAAATATCTTTTTCATTTCATAAAGTGTAGTTGTGCCCCAAACTCCACTACTTAACTACAATTGTCACTATCCAAGCAATCTCTAAGAGGGACAAAATGGATTGTTCAATCATTTATTTCAATAAAGTAAACATAATTAAGAAATAGGGTCACTCAAAGCAAAAGGATTTTAAAGTCTAAAGTCCAATTAAGTTAAAAGTCTGAAATGTGTTTTCAGCTCTGACTATTAAACCAGTGCAGTAGAATGATCCATATAAATGGTGTGACTGTATCCACTCACCATAGCTCCATCAGTGTTTGTTTGACCTTGATGGCATTTGTGAGCAGGGAAAGTTCCTCATCACCAATGTCAGTCCATCCTAAACTGTATGTGAAAGATAACCATATAGTGAGCTGTTTCAACATCTGAATATTTTAGATCATAATGCAAAGAGGTTAAAACGGTACTCTGCCCTAAATGTAAAATTACACAATAGTCTTGTGAGTGAGAGTACAGATGACTAAAACCCCCTTCTGATGACACAACTGTCTGAATCAGTTTCTTTTTTTCTGTAAGTTGTAGAATGAAGAAAGAAGACAGCTAGCTATCATCATGACTAGGATGCCAAACATCAAGTCTGTATCATCAGTGAATTTCTTTATGGCCATTGAGAGATTCCCAAAGGTTGTATGACAAATTTCCATAATGCATGCTGGGTATTATAGTGAGACAATATTGCTGGATAAAAACTATCTAAATTCTGTCAAATCAGTGAGGTAGAGGAATGCAACGGTGTGTCACAGAATACTACATAACATGAAAATTTACCTTTGAAGTATTAGTTTATGGTCTAAATAACCCCTATAAAAAGTGAATCACCTACCCTAACTCCTTTAAGATGTCAGATGCTTCCACTACATCAGCAACTACCTTAATTGCTTCCTTGTCCAGACAGTTTTCTCCCAGCCTATGATAGACAGATAGACATTAGAACATGTGCCATAATTCTGACTTGTAGATAACAAGTAATAAAAGCTAATACCTTATTAGTTAGCATCATACAAACTGCATGTCTTAATCACTACTTAGCCCATTGTTTCAGACTGTTTACACCTTGCATCAATATGCGTTTTCAATTATCATATCATGTGCGAATTTCACTTGAATGCATGAAAAGCCAGGTGTACACACCAAGACACATTGTGTTTGGATTACAATTGGATCAGTCAAACCACATTGTGCCTGTTTACACTTTGCATTAACACATGTTTCATGTCCGGATTGTATCTGGTTCAATTTTGGCCTGATTAGATTTACTCTTTCCACTAAAATGCATCCCTAGTATGACCAGATGAAACCTGATTGCACAATTGTGGACAAGTTTGCTTGGACACTTTCACTGGCCTGAAGTGCAAGAAGGATTCTGTTTATATGTGTGTTAAATGCGGCCAAGATCCATCTCTGACCACTTCTGAATGAACCAAGTGACCTGAAGGTGTTTGCATCTGGCTTTTCATTAGGTCAAGTTAAATCAGAACGTGATTGGTCACAATGCAAGGTGTAAACACACCCATTCAGAGGTGTTCAAAGATGGATAATGGCCACACCTAACACGTGTGTAAACAACGAGTGTTTTTGAAATCCGTATACAGTTACATAGCAGAAATGTGTATGCAGAGAACAGAGGATAAACAAAGAAACAAAAGATGAACGATACGCAAGGCCAGAGTAATCCTCAAACCGAGAGCCTTCTTGCACTCTGGGCAGATGACAGCATCCAAGCTAAGCTTATTTACATGTGTGATGTGCTTTTCATGCTGGAAAGTAAAATTAGTGTAATAAAAAGTATAGTAAAAAGTGCAAATGGAATCCGAAAGTGTAAATGGGAGTTTATCCCGATATGATCTGGATACGAAACATCACTGCAAGGTGTAAACAGGCTCATGCTATCTATAAAAATGGACCAAAGTACATTACATAGCTAGAAATGTTCCACAGGTTCAGTGTATGCATGCTTCACTTTGGTTTGCATTGCGTTTGTTTGTGTAACTAGTAAATGAGCTCACTCAGGCCAGTCGATTGCAACAGTGCCCCTATTAAAAAACCTTATATTTTTGCATGACCTCTTGTGACCTCCTAAGAATGAACTTGAAATCCTTTCATGGGTTTTCTGAGTCTGTCATTTTGAGGCCTAATGTTTTACTTAAAGAGCTAAGAGGATGTACAGGCCTGGGAACATAGGAACAGATACACTACTATAGCACTCATCTTGAAGCTTTTGTCTGCACTTTTGTCCATTTTTATAAATAACAGTATGTCATACATTTTTATAAACCACTTTAAGAAGATTATTTGACATTACATAACAATTTAAAGTGGTATGAAACAACTGTAGCAACATTAACCTTATAGCTTCAGTCCAAAAGTAGAGAATCCAACTTCAGGCACCAAGGACGTTTTGTGTAGTATTTGGGTGAAGTGTAAAATTGTTTTTTTATGTTTTTTTTTTTTTAGCAAACTCACCATAGCTTCTCACATCTTAGGAAGTAGGGCTGTAGCTCTCTTAAGGCTTCGGTGGTGATGTTTGTCCCAGTCAGATCCATCTCTGATATAGTGAGCTGGATTTCATTGAGAAAGTGTTTCACAGCATTGTAGTCCATGGTGGAGAGAGTGACGTCACTGAGGTTAATGCGCAGACACTGTGGCTGAAGCTCCTGCATTAGTAGAACATCCTGTTGCTCCAGAAGACAGTGCAAGTGTGTGAGAATGTAAGCTCCATTCTCGCACAAGGCTCGAGTATCTGCTATAAGCCGTGTCCTGAAGGACTGCATTTTATCCTCCTGAGGTCTAAACCCAATATGTCTGGAGAGCAGTGCTTGGTTCCTCTCTGAAAGGAGACCAGAGAGGAATCTGGTAAACAGATCCAGGTTCCCTGGCAAACTTTCAATATTGTATTCAGTGTCAGACGCTAAGGTCTCTGATAAACATACATCTTCCATGGCGGAAAAAAGTGCTGCAAAGAACTCCTGAATTGTGAGATGTGTAAAGGAATAAACGTCCTCCGTGCAGCCTGGCTCCTGAACAGATGTCTTGTCCAGGAAGGTGCTTACCAAGGTGCAGTTTGCTATATCATCATCGTTCCCATAAAACAGAGTTTCTTGATTCATTAGTTTCTGATTTGCTATTCGGCCGAGCTTTAACAGAACTTTCTGTAGATGTTCTTGAGGCTCTGTGCCACTGCTATCCTTCAGAGATTCAACTCGATTCTTCGTGTGTGATTTGACTAGTGCCAGCAGGTACTGCACATAAATGTCTGTCATTGTCCTAGGGCTAGCTGTGGACAGACAGTTATTCTCTTTCAGGATGCTACATACAATGTGGCAGAAGGCTGGAATGTAGCAGAGAGTTAGCATTAGTTCATTAGCCACCAGAATGTCAAACATCTTAGAAGCCACTACCTTATCTTGGTAGAAACGTTGGAAGAAGTCACGGATCTCGATGGTGGAGAATCCAGTGATGACAACAAAGCGATCAATGAATCCAACAGGGATGTGGCTAACAGCCATGGGCCTGCTGGTCACTAACACAGAAGCCTCTGGGAGGAGTTCGCCCAGCATTAAGCTGGACAAGACCTCCACCACCTCACCCTCCTCATCAAGCTCGGTCAAGTAGACATCCACGTCACATCCCTTGTAGTGTTTGAATTCATCAAAGCCGTCCAGAATGATCAAGAGTTTGGTGTCGTTTTGAATAATGGTGTCTAGATGTTTTGTAAGGTGTCCATTCTTACGGAGAATCAGCTCTCGAAGGCTGACCGGCTTGCTGATGAGGTTCAGATCCCTGAAAGTTAGGTGGATGATGAAGTCAAAAGACTGGTGCTCCCTGCCATTGCTGAAATCATAAAGGATCTTCTGAACAAGTATAGTCTTGCCTATACCTGCCACTCCAGTCACTAAGATCTTCTTGGCTGGGTGTGTACCTGCTTCACTAGAGAACAGCTGGGCCGGTTTGATCAGTCTTTGCTCTGTAGCTCTTTGCTGAAGAGAAATACGCTGCTGTCCAAAAGTTAGAAGTTCATGCCTTTTGAGCTCTACACTGTGATGGCCCTTGACGATCAGCAAGTTGACATAGTGTTCAGAAAAATGGATTTTCTCTCCATGCCGTGTGTTATAGTAGAGCATACTCTCACTCCTGCGTTTCAGGATGGATTTATGCTTTGCTATGAGCTTTTGGTATTCTGGAAGACAAGAGAATACAATAGACCTTCAGCCATTATATACTAATACATCTGGAGAGCCCAACCTTGAGACTTACTATTTTCAGGTATAGCAAAGTTATTCAAAACATTTACTGGTTAATTTCTCAGTCTCTGAGGATTTCATTTCCTGAAGTGTGTCCACACTTTGGTTTCTCACTCTCATAACAGCATGACTTGTATATTAGTTTCACAGTAGTTATGGAACAATAGCCTACGTTTTAAGATTAACTGAATTATAAGCCTGAAGTTTAAGGGGTGGACAAAACAGACTCTTTATTTTAAACTTTGGAATAAAGCAAAATATTTGTAAAATGCTTATATTAGCTCTCATTTAGCCACGTACCTGTTGTCTGTTTCACACCCTGATTGTCAGCTTTTACGTTGGGCTCTCTGAGGTCTTTAGTGATAGAAATGAAGATTCTTGCGTCCTCTTCCCCCTTGCACTCCAGTATGTCCAGTACTTTGCGGACCTTTCCACGTGGCCCCTTTTCATACTGTATTTCCTCTCGATCATCTCTGGTCAAGACATTTTTTGTCATCAGTTGATCTACAAGAGAATCTATGTGCCCCTCAAGCTTGTCAACAAGAGAGACACGAAGTTCCCTGAGGGTCCGCAGGCAGGGTTCGGCTGTCACAGGCAGCATCATGACAAAACTATTTCTCCATTTAGACCCTAAAAAATCGTAAGCTGTGCTATGTCAGGAAATGTCATTTAAAAAACAGGCTCATAAATTTTCTTCAGTTATTTTTACCCTGTATGTACGCTGCTTGTCTCCAGTGGTTGCAAAGTAAGATACAGAAGGGTAGCGCATTGCATGACTCTGAAACCACACACGCGCACACACACACACACACACACAACAATCTGCTCAACATGGAAACACCCAGAAAGAGGAAGTCAGCAATTCTGCACTGACAGGGTGACATACAATGACTATACTGTATAATAACTTCATGTGGCACTAAACAAAATACAGGTTGGTAAGATTTGAGGTATACTTTGCTACATTGCTCTTCTGGGGTATTACAGAACAGTTGTTTATTGTTCATTCAAAAAAGGAATTGGAAAAGGAAGACGCTGTGTTCTTCGGTATACATTCTCACCCCGTATGACCACACTAAACAAAAATACAACAGTGAAAGAATATAATGCACTTTATTATTTGACAGGCGACCTGTTACTAACAATGAGAGCTGGCACAGAAAGTCTAGGCTGCATGCACTGATTTTTCTACAATTTGAACAGACCAAAAGAAGAAAAAGTGCATAAACAATATCACAATGTTCATTTACAGACCAATTGCACTTGTACAATGAAACAAAGTAATAAATAGTTCTAGAAGACAGCTAGCAATGTAAAAAAAAAACATAAAAAAATAAAATCACTCGCTCCTCCCAAGAAGTAGTATTTTCAGCAGTATTTTCAGGGGGGTTTGCTTAAAGGGTCCATATCATAGAAAAACAAATTTCTCTCACTTTTTAGTTTGATGTAGTGTGCAAACATTTCAAAGCGTTTCAAAGAGCCCTTTCACATGCATTTGCATCTCCAGTTAATCAGATGTAATATGCTAATCAGCTCATATACAACAGCCAATCACTGGTGTTGATCCTGCCTTTTGCTGTTCCATTTAAAAAAATGCTTGCCACCTCGACAATCACTTTTTTAAGCTGTTATTCATTTCCTTACACTGACTTTACACCAATGTTGACAAGACAATGACTGTTTACAATAATTAGCTTACTATATTAGCCATCACAATCACAAGCCATGTATGTTAAAACGTAAGGTATTTTAATGAGGCGATGAATAACAACAAAGCGAAGTAAAGATTAAACTAACTGCCACTTTATTTTGACTAGCTTGAGCCAAAAAAGGCTACTGAATTAAATTCAGAGACGAATCTCCTCTGAGTCAAGTCAAGTGGCATTAAACTGGACATTTTTTCCTCCATAAGCATAACATCTTGCTAAAATTTGTCACTTCCTGCAGAGCTTTGAGCAATCAGATTTAAATCTGATTTAAATGCATCTTAAATGTGATTATGCCTGCATTTCTACGTGTATAGTCCATATCCGGATACAATCCTGATACACATGAAACGACCAGATATTAACAGGGTTAAAGCGTACCATTAACTGCCCCTTTCATACAGTCTATACACAGAACCTAAGCAAAAACAGCCTGTTTTAATTTAATTTTTTCCAATGCCTTTACATGTATTCTCCCAATCAGACTATAGCGATTTAGCTCTGCCCATTCACGTTGAAGTTATAGGGAGTACTTCAGTCAGAAATTGGTCATGCAAAAATCAATTATGGCTGTCTTTGGTACATAAAACATAAAAAATGAAGATATGGCCCCTTTAAACATTCAAAATTTCAGGTTTCGTTCTACTTATTTTCATTTTGTGTTGTCCATGGCATGAGCTCAGGATTTCCAAGGAATATACTGAAAACACTTCAAGCTGAAATTTAGTATCTTTAATGCAATTGAAAGCCATTGTATCATCTGGGGGTTTCCTGGAAATGAGCGAATTTTTTCCCATATGTGTAGAGGGAAGTCTTTTCATTTCTTCTTTTTAGACTTACATGTTTGGTTACATGTTTGACTTCACATATTATCTAACAGTAATATTTAGTTGGGGAAGAGCAATACTAAGTACTATCTTGATAAGTGGTTAAAAAAATTGAGGACATACAGACAAACCACAACAATCTGTAAAAGAGTGACACAAAAATACAACCAAACAGTAAAAATAATACAAATCAAGCCACATTTGAACATGGACCTGCAAATCTTGAGTGCAAAACTATAAGGGTTTCCATCCACTATTAAGTTTTTAAAATTTTCAATACTTGGACATTTCTTCTCTAATAAGACTACAGCTAAGATGACTGCAAATCTTACCACTGATGTCTTAATGCAGCATAACCTAACCATTAATGCAGGAAATGTAGAGAAAAGTAGTTTCCAATTCAGATACCCACCAAAATCTAGTCGTTTGCTGCAGTATGCTGTACGGTAGCAAATTATGGTAATATCACATTTTTGATAACATTAGAGAAACACGATTATAAAGTCCTAGACTCCAGAAAACCCTTGTGGACATTCCTTTATGACTAGAGGACACTGATTTTAATGGGGATGGAGTGCAATCCAGTGAATTTCAACACATCTCACATCTCTCTGGACCATCAGAAAGGCAGTCAATGCAAAAACAAATAAAGAGGAATACAAAGACATACTTAAATCAAAGCCTTCACTGAAGTCAAATTAAGGTCAATGTTCATTAATAATAATTTGCGTCCAGTCTAGTGCCCATGCGTTCTGGTCATAGGGCTGATTAAAGGATTTAATCACTTGCCAGTCTCTGACATCCTCCAATCTCAGTGACCGTAACCCTTCACAGATCCTGGCTCTTGGAGACAAGTCATGTGTTGGGCTGTGCAGAGGAGTTCTTTAGTCTCTGGATTAGTCTCTGTCTCTGTCCTTTAGTCCTGATAGAGTCTCAGGTGTCTCTGCAGGACCGGCAGCAGCGTGCTTTAAACTGGGGTAGAGGACACAATTCCAGTTGTCTGACTTTCTCGCAGTACCTGGTGCTGTCCCGACATTCACCTGTGAACGCAATGCAAGAACTGTTACACAAAAAGCTCACTTTTTAAAAGCCAGTTATATTAGTTTTATTAGTGCAGCTATTCTGTAGCACAGTGCAGGGATGGCAAATTCCTGTCGGACCACAGCACTGAGTTTAGCATTCTATCAAAACCAGATTCAACTGATCAGCTTATTATCAAGGCCTTCATGAGCTGGTTTCAGAGAGTTAGTATAAAGGAAAAACAGCTGTGCAATGCTGTCGCCTTTCAAGACCTGAGGTTTGATACCACTGGCATAGATAGAAAAAAATCGAAGGTTTGATCCCCTGTCCACTACCAACATGGGTCCTTACTAACTCCTAAGGCCCCCTACCTGCCAACCTGCCATTGTAAGTCACTCAGGATATGAAAGTCTGCAAAATATGTACGCTTGTTGGCATGGAAGTCTGAAAAAACAACTAATTATAGTTTGGCTGGATAGTGGATAACATGATCAACCTTCACACGGACGATTAAAAGTTTACCACAGTGTACCAGTGTAAGCTGATCTGGATAAGTATCCGTTAATTATATGTAAATGGAGTGTTTCATGATGAGGCAGAATATTAGTGGCTCTGATTAGAAACAAAATACAATGAAAGTGGCAGTTTTGCAAATGTGGTTCAAGGATTCTTGATACCTTCATACTGAAGTTTAGATGAGTAACAGATCCTCAGTATTGTTGTTAATTCAGAAAACAGCAGGGCTCGAGTGCGCATAATCTAATTTACAAGTATAAAAGTGTTTGATGCTGTACAGGAAGACATTCATTTCTTTGGTTTAGAAATGTGCAGTACTGTGTAGGCATCTAAGACTATTTATGTAGGCATTTTTTAAAACTAACTTTAGAATATCTACAAATAAACAATACATTGTAATTTTATTTTATCTCCAGTATTTACAGTTACCATCCGATACCTAGTTTTTACTAGCAAAAAAAAACACACTGCGAAAAAAAAAGAATGGTGGTATGTAACTTTTGCACAGTACTGTATTTCTTTATGATGTTTTCAGGGTTTCATTCTAAAATTCTGTGTATCTATTTGTAACAATTTTAGAAATAACGAGTTTTTAAAAAACTATAACTGCCTTTCCTTAATACAGATGGTATTAATCACAATATAGCACTGATATTTTTGTATGTGTAAAGACCACCCCCAACAATGTATACTAGGAGGAAAAAAAAAAAGAAAATTCTTGAAAGTGGTCAATAATGTTTTATTTGGAATGACAGACTGCTCATACCTCTCCCGCAGGACAGAATGTTGCAGCGCTGCCAGCTAGCAGGCCGAGGCCTCCATGCACAGTGGAACTCTCGAGCTGGTTTACCGCTGCGGCGGTGCACACATGTCACATGACGTGACTGGAAACCATGGCGACCACAAGTGGCCGTGCACTGCGTCCATGGGCCGACTCGCCAGTGCAGAGCACAGGCCTCTGAGGTGCAGTTTTGATGAGAGAGAGGCCTGGAAGCCATGAACAAAAACAAATCATTTTCTGGGTGTAGTGAAAGAAACAACATTAATTAACCCTATATATATATATATATATATATATATATATATATAATATATATATATATATATATACACCGATCAGGCATAACATTATGACCACCTCCTTGTTTCTACGCTCATTGTCCATTTTATCAGCTCCACTTACTATATAGGTGCACTTTGTAGTTCTGCAATTACAGACTGTAGTTCATCTGTTTCTCTGCATACTTTCTTAGCCCCCTTTTACCCTGTTCTTCAGGGGTCAGGACCCCCATGGACCCTCACAGAGTAGGTACTATTTGGATGCTTCTCTGACCACTGAAGAACAGGATAAAAGGGGGCTAACAAAGTATGCAGAGAAACAGATGGACTACAGTCTGTAATTATAGAACTACAAAGTGCAGCTATATAGTAAGTGGATATATATATACAGCCTTATGCCCAATGACTGCTGGGATAGGCTCCAGCTCCCCCCGTGACCTGGAAGGATAAGCAGCTTAGAAAACGTGTGTGTGTGTGTGTGTATAAATATATATATATATATATATATATATATATATATATATATATATATATATATATATAGCTTGCCTTGGTTGACTGCTGCACATTCGATGTGCTACTCTGGTGCTGTTCTTGTCCTGGCAGAACACGTGTCTGTGCTGCAGTGCCTGCTTTGGTCCAACACACTGCCCATTACACTGAGTAAAACAGATTATTCATACAAAAATCTTAATAAACACATCATACATCGCACATCACACATCATACATCACTGACAAGATGGTCAGCTATGTTACATTTTCATTTGTTTAAAACAGGAAAAAAAATACCATGTGGTATTTTTAGGTTGCCATTTTTTGGTTGCTTCCTCTTTCACCAAGTGATTTTGAGACACAGTTATATCTCTACTTCCTCAAGAAACCTATGATACATTGAGACATTAGAAAAAAAAATCCCTTTTCAGTAGAGACACCGTAATTTTCTGTTTCTATTCTCAATGTCACCAATTTTCATTAAAAAGGAAAAGAAAAACATTATGCTGTTATCATTTATAGCACAGATGATATGGAGTTGTAAGAACCAAAAAAGTCACACAATGTTTACGTTCATTATGTTAGGTTTATTATTATGTTAAGTTCATTTTGATTTACTAACTCACTTTGTGCTTGTTGTATATAGACCCAATTCAACTGATGTATTGAATTATTCAGTATTATACAATAAAATGATGATAATGGGCAAACCTCTGCAGACATCTCTGTTCAATGGTAGAACATGTGCCTCTTAGTCATCACAAATCAAATGTCTAAATAACACCCACTGTCATGACACTATACTCACAGGGCCCCATGATGTTGTCACCCAGCTGACACACAGCTGAGTGTTACAGGGCCTGGTTTCTGCTGGTCTCCTACCAGCACCCAGACATGCCTCTGCTCCTTCTGCAACACCTAAACAAGTCACACTGCGGCTCTGTATCCCACCACCACAGCTCACAGAGCAGGACGACCAGGATGACACCTGCCATCTGATTTACAGAGAGAGGAATGTAGAAAAGAAGGCAGTTAGACAAATAATGAACGACATCTTCATTAGGAAAAACAGAGTTTTCTTTAAAAGTTATCATATACCACGCATGGAATACGTACACAAAGATTAAATGGAATTTTACTTGTATGAATGTACACAGAAACAGGGACGTCATGGATGAATGAGAACTGGCTATTTGGTTACTGCCATGGGAACGTAATGACTGGTCTGACTAGACAGGAAGCTCATTGGAGGAACAGTGGAAAGTGTAATAAATCTTGACTCCATGAACTCCATCACTGTACAATTCACTGCCCTTCATTCAGTCCTCTCAGACACTTACGATAAACAAGGTACTAGTCTACAACAGTTGAACTGATAATAATAAGTAATTAAAGAATCTAAAGCAGAGGTGTCAAACATACGGCCTGCTTATGGTTCTTATCTGGCCTGCCAGATTAATTTACAATAATCCATGTTATAAATTAAAATCAGCTTGTGGACTGTAAAAAATGCCAAAAAAGCAAGTAATGACTGACATAATGTTCAACCAATCACTGCTTAGGAACCACCTCTAAGCACTACTTCTTCTGACAAGTGAATGAAAAACTCCTCAGAACAAACCTGCAGTGAGAATGACGCCGGCAGTAAATTAGTTAGAATTACTAGGCTGAGAGATGTAAAAAAGGCATCTGCAGGGTGGTGCTGTTTTTATTTCATTCCTGATGCTGAAAATCTTTTGGATCATACTGTGTGGAACACCAAACTCAAAGCTTAGGGTCAAAACTACTAACAAGCAGCTCCGAGGTAAGCTAAACTGAATCTAGGTTGCTATGTTTTGCTAACAATAATTTTATTATGAGGTCTAAAGATAAATAACCTTGCAGAAAATCAGATAGCTAGCTACATTAGCTTTTCTTATCTTAGCTGCTTATGTTGTTGACAGCTTAATAAATTAGTCATATTAAACAGAACTGTGTGGTGCTCTCATTTGTGATAAGAACATTCTGTTTGAAGATAAATAACTCGTATGCATGCATGCATTGCTGTTAAATGATAGTAACTAAAGATAGGTGACAAATTAAAGGAAAAACCTAAATCAAAGAGTGGAGAAACAATCAGTACTTTCAGACAGAGACTTAACATCCTACCATGCTCTGTGTTACGTATAAAAATGCTGAACAGGCCCAGCTGATCTCGATTTTGAACAAAATACCAATTGAAAAAGATCTAAGTGACTTAATAATTGAGGCACAGATAGCAGGAGCTTCAGTCACAGAAACTGCTCAACTGGCCAGTGTTTCAACAGGAAACAGGAATGGAAACTGTGTTCAGAAGTGTACATTCAGTGACTGTGAAGCTTGTGCATTAGTGTGATATGTACGGAAAAAAACAAAAAAAGCAACTGTTGCCCTCAGATGACTGAGAATGTCAAAGCAGGACATGATAAGACTGTGTCAGCAAGAACAGTCTGTACACAACTACATAAAGAGGGTTATTACAGTGGAGTTGTCCCTCATTGCAAATATGAATGCAGATTTGAGAGTTCAGTGGTGTAAAAATTATATATACTGATCTACAGAAATGTGGAAAGAAGTGATTTGGTAGGATGAGTCCTTCACCACAAGTAGCCGAGTGCATGTATGGTGTTCACCAAGAGAACAGTACACACCTGAATGCTTGACCCCTACAGTGAGGGGGTCCAGTGGCTCTGTTATGATGTGGGGGGCATTTTGCTTGCATAGTTTGGGTCCTCGTAAAAAGAAGGGTCATTACAAAGTTATTCTGACACATCACTTTTATCCTATGATGGTACATTCTTATCCTGTCATGTGCTATGGCCTTTGCAGATTTAAACTCAGTTGAACACCTATGGGAGGCTTTGGACTGATGTGTTAGACAGTGGTGGACTTTTTGTAATAGGAAGATGTGAAATAGCCGTACAACCTGGTAACTTCAGATCAACAACACCTTGCAGTACCACGACTGTACCTGTGGCGGCAGTGTTGTCCATGGCAGGAGTGAGATGACTGCAAGTTGTCTGTGCATAAAGAAGAGTTATTTTCGTCAGCACCACTTATGCAGCCACTTCCTGCAAACAAATGAATGCAAAAAAAGTGATCATTTTGTCGTTAAAAAAGTGCTGCAGTCATTAAACATACAAGAACACTATATAAAAAAAAAACATTTTAAAATGCATCACAGTGCTTCATGAAATCTGGATATAATGCCAAAGTGCCCACACACAATCCTTACAAACAACATCTGATTAACTAGTTTCTGTACAGATTTTTAAAAGAGACCCACTTCTCACATCTGTATCAACTACAATAAAAATGCCTGTGCCTTCCAGCCATATAGTATTAAGATAATTAGAACTAAACCAGATACTGTCATCCAAAAACCTTTAGAGCCTTGGGATGTTGTACACGTAAGAAAGTGAATCACGATTCACAAGGACATGTTGAGGTAATCTGGATACCTTTCAACATTTTAAGCCTCTTATCCACTCTGCTCTGATTAAACAAGAAGGTCCACTCCTACTCCTAACTTCCTTTGAAATACCGTCTGGATTTGCTAATTGTTGACGGATGCTGGGAGAAAGTCCAGCGCATCAGGAATGGGCCTTGACAGTGCTTTGTTCTTTATGTCCACAGGGTCAGCAACTAATCACAAGTCGCCATGGCTGCACCCTCACTACATGCCACAGACATTGCTGGAAACTGATGATTTACATAGGACTCCCAGTAGGTTATTTGGTGATATGAGAAGGACATTAGGAAATTCCCCTTCAGTATCACTTTGTGTTTAGCATTAGTAAAAATATAGTGAGAAGTCCTTTAAAGTATATACACCACTGCTCAAAATTTTAGAATCACTTGTCATCTATTTTTTTTTGATATTTCATTTAATAATAACACAGTTTAGATTAAAATAATATAAGCTAATAATACAACAAGGAGTTTTAAGATGTTTTATTCAATGTTTCTATGCTGTGTAACATTATGAGAAGATGAAGTTATTAAAAAGTTCATGCTAATTTTATTATATTTTCATTTTCAATATTATACCACTTTCTCAGTTATTTTTATTATCATTATATCTACAGCTCTGTTCATCATTTTGGACACAGCTTCCTACAAATTAGCTGAAACCTGTAGTTGTAGAGTAAAAGCATCATATTAGAATCCCTTTATACATGTAGGTGCAACAACATTGGTTTTATATTAATGTGTACAGTGATTCCAAATGTTTAAATGGCAGTGTAGTGCCACGTGAACTTGATGTGGACATATATGTGAGCCTAGCATGACCTGGGAGTTCCACAGAGATCCCACCATTTACGCCAAATTATCACTTTAACCACTTAAAATCTAGGCTTATTATTCAGTTATTAATCTTAAACTTTAAGATGAATCTTTACCTTAAAATAACTCACTAAATACTATACATTTTTTCAGGTCTTAGATTATTTAGTGCAAGTCTGTAGAATTTAAGGCTTACAATCAGTACAAAATGACTGACTGTAAGTGCTCTTATTATTTATTGAGGGTAATGTTTTACTGCTGAAGCAGAGAATGTGATTTATTGACTGACCTCAAAAGAAAAATATTTGCCCTTTTTTTTGCATCAGAGTGAATTAAGCTTATTAAGTGTAAACTACAGCTTATCAATTGCGTACAGTCCTTGCACTCAAACATCAGCTCTCAAGCTGACTTATGTAAACCAAGCCCTCCTGTCTAGGCCCGTCTAGGCCAAAATACACTGAACCCTTCTCGGAGTGCTGACAGTTCTAGTGCGCAAGATCTGTTTTACCTGTTATTTGCACTTGAGATGACAGTGAAGTGGAGCCTAGATGATTTGTAGCTCTGCATGTGTAGAGTCCAGAGTCTGTCTCCCTTGGAGCGTCAACGTGCAGGGAGCCGTCTGGCATTAGGCCTACTCTGCCACGACACAGAACATAAAACTACTGAAAGAAACACAAACACTTAGATTGCTTGACAGCACTTTTGCTGACCAAGAGCCAATTTTGTAGCCAGACAGGACAGAAAGTCCACTCCTACCTGCTGCTGTTTGTCAACTCCATGCCATCCTTTGTCCAAATTGTCACTGGTTGTGGGTTGCCTTGTGCTTGGCATCTTAGCTCCAACCTGATGGCCTGCCTTGGGACCAAAACAAGACTACCAACATGTGCCACTATTTCATTAGGGAACTTGTAGCCTCTCAAGGGCCTCTGTATAATGACAGGGCTTCGGAGATGCCCACGCCATTGTCTGGTGGAATGGGATGGCATTCGTAAACCAGTTCTTTGAGAAATGTAACCCTGAGTTGAGAATTCCTGTCTGTCATTGGGTTCCAAGGTGGATTCATTATTCTCCCCGGTGTTCTTTGTTAGTTCCTCTAAAAGTTGAGTAATAAGCTCATCCTTTACAGGGCCCTGGACGCCACCAGACAAATTCCGAGTGACCTCATCAAGTTTTGGCATGTCTGCCACCAGAACCTGCGGGCTCTGAGGATCCAATACTGTATCCTCTTCTAGAATGGACCTATTCTTCTCAGCAGAATCCAGCAGTTCCTTGGAGACATAGCCCTCCAGGGCTAAATTTTTTAGGTCAAGCAAGTGCTGCACCACAGCGTCATAGCGATTGAAAGACAGCACCTCTTTGGCTGTCTCCTCAGATACAGATGACATTTGATGAGTCTTTGGTGAGCTTTTAACACCATCTGTGATCCAGAAGTCAGCTTCTGGAACAGATATCTTCTGCTTGCCGCCAATAAGCTTCAGGACAAAGTTTTCCTGTGCCTGACCCGCAACACAAGTGTACATCCCCACGTCCGAGGCGCGAACCTGCTGAATCTTGATGTAACCCATGTGAGATATGGAAACATGAGGCAAAAGAGCCAATGGCTTTCCATCCTTTAGCCAGCGAACATGGCCCTTACGAAAGTGGCGGGTTGGGCAACGGAGTACAATAGATGTCCATGGCAGTAAGTAGGCATATCCACCCACTACAAAGTGCAGTTTTGGGCCTTTTCTCCACTGAATATAGACTTTCTTCTGAGCCAAGATGGCAGGATCTGGTTTTGCAGCTACCGACTTGAAAGTCTCTGTGAAAGAAATATGTATGTGCTGTTACTGTGAGCCAAAAGATCATCTGATGATTCACTGATTCACCCCTACCAATCAAAATTAAATGAAGAAGCAAATTCTCAAAAGTACTATAGAAACCTGGAGCTTAGAGGCTGTGGTGGAGGTGTTTGACCCTCTGGCAAAAACCATTTGGCACTGCTATTCTGCAGCTCCATTTCCTGTATCAGTTCTTTGGATTGTCCTTAGATTGCTCCCTCACTGCTCTCTCACTACCTATCCCAGCTATCTACTCCCTCACTTTCAAAAAGCTAATGAATAACATATTTATATGTCTTGTAGAGCTGTTTCTGGCTTGTAACATGGATGACAAAATAAACAATTTAAGACATAAAGAAGTGTTAAAGACAATAGAGCAATAAATAACATTACATGTGCCTAAACCTTGGCTTGCGAGGATTCATCACAGTCAGGTTGGAATGTCTTAATGGGTGCTGAGGTTTGCTGTCTGAAAATGTGGCTGGCGTTTAGCCGAGGTTTGCTTACTCTCGCAGGGTCCAGCGGAGCACGATCGAGCAGTAGAAGGCTTTGTGAGTGAAGCACAGGCCTCTGGAACCAGAGTCTGGTACTGCCCATTCTGTTCCTTCCTCCTGCACACCACAAGCAGCCTCTGGGTCCCTTCTCCACAGGTTGCCGAACACTGGACAAGCAACAGATACCCCTACTCATTCACTATGGACAGATGACTACATTCAGTAACTGGGCTGTGGATAGCTTGTGGCCAGGAGCTGTTATGCTAACCCCACCATGAACTGCGCTCTGGTTCACTGAGGACTGTGAGCATTCCTCAAGCGTGATGAACAACTAGGAGTTCACATACATCAGCCATATGAATTTGTCTCAAAGGGAACGGTGAAGAAAGACGCTACTGGCGTTGGATCCTCCACTTAAACAAACTACATCACAACAGTGTTACAGGTGGTAGTGAAAAATATATGTCCTCACATAATATTCAAACACTGGTCCCTTAGTGTGATGGAAAAAGAGAAGGAAAAAGTGGGTCATGTTTAGACAAACCTATGCTTTATATTAATGTTACTTAACTTCGCTTGGGCCAGTGAGGTCATCCTACAGCCAGAACAAATTATTCAACAAAAGACTCGCCAAGAGCTTTTAAGTGTGACAGAGTACACAAAACACACAATAAAACAGCATGAGTTCTATAGCCGCACAAAAAAATTATGAACAGCAATAACAGGGTAGACAAAATTTTGAAACCTGACCAGGACCATGAGTTCAGTTGCAATATGAGAGAATGCATGTTTCTGACCTGTGTCCAATCTGTGAAGACCCACTGGGCAGGGCAGTCTGTCTGGCCACAGACTTGCAGCATGGGCAAGCTTGGAGAGGGACAGAAGGTCTCAGGTAACTCCAGTACACTTCCATCTGCCATTCTCTGCTTACAGACAACCTCCCTCTTCTGTGTGCCACCTCCACATGTATGAGAACACTGTGTGGATGCAAAGCAAAGACATCTAACTGAGCTCACTCTGCCTTGGCTTCCATGGCTATTACCAAGTGAAGAGCCAACATTTTAGCATGAAGTGAACTCAGGGAACTTAAAAGAAATCTGTAGGGATTTCTTTCTAAAATTATTGTTGATATTGCTACAGGGTCAACTGGAGTTTGACCAAAGAAACATATTGTCGCTGTCATAAGGAAACTTTGTAGCTACTTTTTTTGGACTAGAAATTAAAAAAAGTCAAGATTTTTGAGTTACGCTGCCAGATGTTAAGTTAAGAAAATGTTCTTCCTCTCCTATAGAGTTACAAGGTTTTCTTATGACACAGAAACCATGTATCATTTTAACTGTAGACAGATTAAAAGCAATGCTGTGTACATCACTTTTAAACATACTATACATTGTCAGAAAAAAAGAGTGCATTAGTACATTAATTTTAGTTCTCCAAAGTACAAAGTACCCATTAAAGTACGAAATGGTCTTTAAGGTCCAACTGTGTCTAATAAGCATGTTTTTAAGGTGCGCTCATTTATATATACATATATATTTATACAGACATACATAGATGTCCACTAAAGGCAGTAGTTCTCAAACTAGTCCTCAGGGACCCCCAGATGGTCCAGATTTAGTTTTTGCTCCAAACATGTAACACATAGGGACACAGCAAAAATCTGGACCATCTGGGGGTGTCCAAGGGCCCACTTGAGAACCACTGGGTCACCACCTCAATAACAGCATTTATTCCCTGAAAGGTACAGTTTTTTCTGAGAGTGTAAGATGATTTTATCTTGGACTTGCTGAATGAAACAATGGAAAGTATTAAACATTTCCCCAGACTCTTAAAGAACTTGGAAAAACAGTTTTCCATATCTAACCTGACTCCACTCCTTGGTATCCCATGTTGGTGGGCAATCAAAACGATTACAAGCCTGTACAGAGGAGGGCTTGGGCTGCCGACACTTTTCATCTTTGACCTTCTCTGTGTGGTTGCTGTGTGCTTTTCCTTTCAGCACACAGGTAACGGCACGCGTCTGAAGGCCAACCCCACATGTTGCTGAGCAGGAGCTCCAAGCCTCTACCTCCCACCTGAAGAGACACGAATTAATTAAATTAACATCTTAAAATCTGCGGGTATCCATATTCTTTCCATGTAGCAGTTGGCATAGTGTAGTGGTTAACACTGCTTCTGCCTATGCAGCAGACTAGGTTCAATTCCCAAGTCGGGTAAGCACACTTTACTATAAGAGTCCTTGGGCAAGACTCCTAACACTACATTCGCCTACCTCTGTTACATGATTAAATTGTAAGTCACTCTGGAAACGAGTGTCCGCCAAGTGCATAAATAAAAATTTGCTCAGTATCTCCATGGAAAAGAATGCATAATAAGTTATTATTGAGCTCTATGTATGAGGAATGGACCTGCTGAAGGGTCTGAAATTGTTAAGATGTTCATCAATTATATAAAAATAAAGGTACTCAATTTCCTAAAAACCTTTCGGTTCTTTAAAAAAAATTGTAAAAATGCGATCTGCAAGTGTGAAGTTTAAAAACCCTCCACATTACATAAAGATTCCATACCATTTTTTTCTAGAACCATATATCTAAGCCAAGAACCATTTAGAAACCTTTATTTTTTAAGAGTATAGCTGTTCATAAACCGAGTAACAGTTTAAATAAAAATTAATGTATTTTCACACAGCCTCGAGACATAGAGAAAACACTACCACAGCTCATCAAACCACGAGAATGAGGTTTCCAGGGACGTGATCAAATAGCCACATGGTCACAACATTGCGGATATTACAATCCCACTGGTGCCTTTGACCCAAGGGTCACCCCTTCAACTCTGATTGTGGCAGCAGCTGAAGCTGGAGCGGGCCAGCACCTCCAACCTTCCAGGACCACCAGCAGTTAGCCCGAGCTCAGCTGGAGACTCCCGCTGCCTGGCAGCCAGTCTGGGTCTCCCCCAATGATATGACAGTTCAGGCTGGAGCAGAAAGCTTCAGATTCCCTTTACAAGGGAAGCAAACCAAAAAACTGGAGGGGTTTTGAGGCCCAGAGAAGGACTAAGCAGGGGCCAAGGGAAACAAGCAGAACACAAAGTTTGTTGTGCTTGAAAACAAACGTAACACTTGGAAAAACAGGCTGGAGAAAGGCAGAATGCCTCTGGGTTTTTACGTCCGTGGCGAGAGGTGTGGAACACCAGCACAGCGGGGTACATGGTGGGTCTGCGTGTGCATGTGGGGGAGGGGGGGAGTTGATTTTCCAGCCACAGGCCACCGTAATCGCTACTTTACATTCTGCAAATGGTTTGGATATTTTAACATCAGGAAAAAAAATATTTGAATATATATATATATATATATATATATATATATATTATATATATATAAAATGTTGTTTTAAACAAAACTGCAAAATACATGTGACACTAATTCAACACTTAAATAGTGTCTTATTATCCGTTATCTGTGGCTCAGCAAGACATTTTATTCTAGGTCTTAGCAATACACACAGAGATCTCAGTAATAAATATATGCAATATTCACACACATGCACATATGCATTCTCTCTCTCTCCTCACTTTTCTTCATCTTCTCAACTTGCCATTTGGAAACGCAGAATGTGTTGCTAGATTGAGTGGTGGACTCAGAAAACGTGTCTGACAGATGAGCCTCTGAAACTAAGACTTCTCTCTTGCGCTACTCACAATTGCGTGGAGGATGAACGGCCCTGACATCCCAGCAGCCTCTTTAGCGCAGTGAAACTCGACACTGATAGTGTCTGTCCTAGACTACACTGCTACAGCAGGGGGGCAGCGGCCTTCATTTCCTGGCCTTGGAGGGGAGCTCCATTAGTTTCCACAAAGTTAGCATGAGAGTGGTCTTTAGCCACGCACTCCCAAAGATATCAGCACAGGATTCTCATATCTACAAACCATTGCAACAAAGAAACCAACCTTTTCTATCTATAAACTCTAAAGACTCATTGGCCGGGCCATGTAATTGTAAATCTGTAGTAATTACTGAATAATTCGTAATAGATGATGGATAATAAGCTTACGCTAATAAACTAAATAAGCCAAAAGTTGGAGGGCTATCCCCTCAAAATGTGAAGCATACAACATCCTAAGGTTTATCATTCAGTGACTAAATGGTTGACAATGCAAACTGACTGAGTTATTCTTTGGTTATAGTAGTATGTAAAAAAAGTTTGGACCTGCTGGAAGGTCCAGGACGTTTAAATGTATTATGTAAGCACAACTACTTAAGTTTTACTTACTTACTTAAGTAATTACTTTTTGAAGATTTTAAAAGCTTATCTGAGACCAGTTAATTATGACATACACATTGAGATTATTTGTAGACAAAATTGATAACATGAATCAAACTTCTCTCCTAATTACAGCTATTGAACACTTCCTAAATGCTATAGGTCCTTACCGGGGTGGACAGGGGTCAGTGTTGCAGGCCTTTAGGAGCTGAGGAGGTCGTCGTGTGCTCACACACTCACTTTCATCTGTAGCTTCTCTGGTCTGCTTGTTCAGACAGATTACCACTGCCTCCTTCATCCCTGAGGAGCAAATGGTAAAATCAAGTTGAGATTGAAGCTTTCGGTCATAGCACATACCATTAACTTAATGACAATTTAAGAAGGATTACTGAACATACGCATCACACTTCCACTTTTAGAGTCAACACTGCACTGTTGCGATTCAGAGAGTACAGTTTCTTATACAAGGTGAATTGAACAACATACTGGTGGGAAGTTTCATTTTACACTGATAAGAATCTGATGGGGGGGGGGAGTGTGGGAATGCAACCAATGTACAAGAGAATAAAGAAAAAAAGGAGAATCTGGCTTTGAATTGTAATGAGTACTTCTAAAATAAAAAAGGAAATTCTAAATGAAATTATAAGAGTAAAAAGTAAGCTTTCCTCTCTTAGAAATGTAACTAAGTACAGGCACACATATTAAATTTTATTAATACCCAGGTAAAGTATAAAACTTCCAAAATTATACTTTAGTATTATATAAGCACAACTGCTTAAGTTTTACTTATGTCCTTAAGTAATCACTTAACTTTTCCACCCCTGATGGAAAGTACAGACACAGAAACACAGTTTTGTCCATTCGGGCATCTTATTATCACATTATTTCATTGTGCATCACTCCTAGTTGTGGGATAAATCAAAACACACCACATAGCTTAACAAATGCAAATGCTTCAATGCTTTTTTTCTATCATTATTCACATATAATTCTTTAGGAGCTCACCAATCATTATGCCATAAACAAATAAGGTCTTTGGGAGGAGGTGCACTGACCTGGACACTGATTTCTCAGTGAAATCCTAACCTTATGGCCCTAAACACCCATATCGTAAGCTCCAGATTTTAGATCATGCTAAGCAACAGTAAAGTAAAACCAGGTCTCTTGATAAGGTTATTACACAGACAAGAGGGTGATAATGTGTTAAATAGAGGGTTAGCTGAGAGAGAAGGAGGCTGTTATTAAGGGAGGAGGTTATAAATTTATATGGTGAGGTGTTAAGAGAGAAATGGAGACAGGGAAGGAAAGGCCTGACTTTTACAGGACCCAAGATAACAGCAATATATCTATATGTGTCAGAAAAGGAAGACAAAGCACCACAGGGTGCGTTCTCTTCTCAAGTGCTGAGCTGTTAAGGCAGCTGCAGATGTGGACGAGTGTGTGCCATGGTGCAGTCAGGACTGAGCAAGTATATTTGTGTATGTACATTATGGCTGATGTTATTAATTGATTAAACTCGATTACACACTTAAAAAAAACAGGGTCTGGTCTCAAATCTACATGCTGGGTGAACTGATCAGTGATTAGCTGACAGTTTGCACAACAATAATTTAAATTCTCGTACTGCTCTCTCTTACTGTAAATAATTTCGGTATTACTCACTTATTTGTTATAACATAACTCACTTATATGTAATAGGTAGGTTACTTAATTACTGACATAATGTAGGGATAGGTCAGAATTGTATAGTCATGAAAGTGAAGAGAGTGACAATTTGTTAGATCATTATTAATTTATAAAGTAGTAGTAATAATAATTAATTATAGATTATTATTAAAATAGTAAATTAAAATAATTGCTATGCAAATTAGCTTCTCTTTAGTGCTATAGGTTCCCATATTGAAGAACCTGAGCTACCTGAACTTTATGATCCACCAGTGGGCAGTGTAGGACCTGCGTCTTACGTTCAGAATTTCTAAAGCTTTCTAAAAGCTATCGCTCACTGAACGAGAAGATCCGTGCAGCACATGCAGTACGTGCAGTACAAAGCGCAACAACAGCACACAGGAGTTGTCGCAGGGAATTTATTACATTTAGTATCAGCTAATAAACTCTTCAAAAGCCAAAGTTTGTACTTATAATAGGTATAAACTTAAGGTCTGCATTCCTGCAAGACCCATCACAATATCTTGCAGTGTGGGGCTAATTTTCAGTGTGACCTGTTGGAGCTGGCAGTTAACCAGCATACTGTGGGCTGGAGCAGGACAACATGCGTAGACAGATCCCGTAAATTAATGAATAGCCAAAACAAAATGATAGCTATCGCTTAATAATTGTTTAAAAAATATCTAATACCAATATAACAAAAAATAATAAACTCTAAAGAGTTTATTATTCTAAAGAGAAACGCATTCTAAATAAGATATTATAAAGTAGTTCTAAATAGAACTAAAACCTACAAATTCCTTTCTTGTAGGCTACAGAAACAGCTGAGGCTTTACACAGTCAGGCGGCCACAGCTGTGGAGGGAGCTCTTAATAAAGGTGAATATGCAAGAATAAAGCAGACTAAAGGTAAGTCTGACCTACGGTAGTTTTTTTTAGTTGTGACTAACGCAGAGGGAAACCAGTTATAAAGGTCCACAAGCAGGAGTGGGACAAGTTGTTTCGGTTACAGTGGGAGCGGGACAAACAGTGCATTTTCTGCAGGAGCGGGATAAAATCTTGCAGGAGTAGGTGGGAGCAGGACTTAAAGAACTGGACCCATGCAGACCTTTACTACTAACTGAAATAGTAACGTTATCTAGGTAAAAACAGATGATTTGCATTTGTCTGTTTATCATAAAGACTTTAGATTGTTTTTTAAAGCAAACCTCAAGCCATGTGTCACCTTCTATGGATTTGTGGTGTTGGTTTATTATAGTAAGATGTTGAGTGGTGTCACTGTGTGCAGCACATTTTTGACTAATGTCCCATAAATTCTAATATCAACATCAACAACTGAAAAAACCTTCCATAAAACAATCAACTGTGACAGTTTGAACACCCCTTGTCTGCAAATGTTAGTGCACAATTTCTATTTAATTGCATACTGGAAAAAAACATCAAGTATAAAATGTGCCACAACCTTTGCACAAGCCAGATTTTATATAAATAAACAGTACTTGTGCATTAAAATGTGCAGAAGTGTGTTCTCTGTAGAGGATGTTAACTTATTTTCATGTAGAAATCAACAAAATGTAATTTGACCAGAGGCGCCCAAACTTTTGCATACGACCGTACATAAACGTGCACACACATATCGACAATGATCAACACTTTCTTAAGCAAACATGACACATACACACAGACACAGTGAGGAAAGTTCATTAGCAGTGCACAGAAAATGACTCATTGAGCTCCAATCTAAACACCCTCTGATTACACTCAATGAGCCAAATTAACATCAAAACAAGCACATTTCTGTCGCAGTATCTCCAGGCACTACATATACTAGGTTTTACAAACTTCCAAGCCATTACGTGAGCCCTACTCTAATGACTCATAAAGCTCTGAAGCTGTCAGTGGTGTCAGAGTCGATAATGAAGCTGAAAACTGGTGTCTCCCACATCAAAGGGCCTGTTAGTGTTGTACTACACAGGACTCCAGACCAGCGGGGTGAGTGTATGCATGGAATACACGAGAAACAAAAAATGGCCCTTTTAATCACTGTGTAATCAAATATGAGAAAAAACAGTGTCAGGGAGGTATTCACTTTAACAACACCACAAAATGAGTGTTTCAGGGTGTAGGACTAGAGTTGTAGTAATACTGATTCCACACAGTTTTTTGGTTGCTCTGACTTAGTACTCCAGCATATTTGCTTTAAAATGAGTACGAAGTTAAAGAGGAATTCCAATGATATTTCAACGATTCTGAATAATCCCATCTTTAAGATGAAAACAAAGTCATTCAGAGTAGTTATGAAATGTGCCATTCTGGAGAAACCTGAAGAGTCAGAATTTTGGTGATAGGAACCAGATGTCTGAAGAGTTTAATACCATTAAAGCTACTTCACAGAAAGTTATTACACGAGACACTTACAAATATGTTGCCACATGCCTGAAGCAGGCATTTTAGGGTAATTTTATGGTAGTTTTTAAAGTAAGAGTTTGGTCTAAAACATATTTTTAAAATCACATTCATGGTGGAGGTACATGCAGGGCACTAAAAGGCAAAATATACCCAAAGAAAATAAACTGTCGCTGTCTAAACAAAAAAAAGCCCATATTTTTGTTCATTTCTACATCATTTGAACAAGGCAGGTCCCTTTTACATTGTCCAAAAAATTTCGGAGATACATTTTTTTCTCTGGACAACAACAATATGTTTTCAAAATATTTTTACCACTATTTACTGTTATAAACCCAGAAGACATGTCTAGGTTTACTGGTCATTTTGGGTAGTAAATAAAATGCCTACGTTTGTGCATGTATTTTGAAAAATAAGTTCCCTTGTGCAGATTATTAACTGTAATCATGGTTATGTATGACCATATCTGTTGAACTGTGTAGAAATTATAGCTTTTTTTATAGCTTTTTTTTTAAAGTTTGTTGGTCAGTTCTGAGTTGTTGCATCATTACATCATGCCAGAGTTAACAAAAGGCCTGGTGTTGATTCTAGATGTGGTATTTGTATTTGGAATTTGAAGCTGTTGTATGTCAAATCTAACTGTTTGGTACACTGCTGAGCGTGGCAATAGCAAACTATTTGGCAGACCAGGGGCGATTACGGTTATGGTGGAAAAAACTTTGGTTGTAAAGAAAAACTGCTTAATGGATCAAGAAAACCATCAAGGATGCTGGCGTGCCCTAAAAGGACTGACCACATAATCCAAAGCCTAAAAACAGAGAGGCCAGCTTGCTGTAGGTACATAAATAAACTCAGGCAGAGTCCTAATAATGTGACTGTTGTCAGCAGCTGCAGGATGAATCCTGAAATGTATAGAAGCATCTTAACTGCTGAGATCCAACTAAGTGCTTCAAAACTCATTGATCTTGGTGCTGCTACAGCAAGAGTTTTTCAGGGGCCAGACACTGAAATGTTCTTGACTTGAGAAGTCAGTCACTCAAGCCCAGTGAGCACATATTTCACTTACTGAAGACCAAAAGCCACAGAAACAAGCAGGAGATGAAAATGGCTGCGTTACAGGCCTGGCAGGGTGTTAGCAGAGAAGACACTCAGCATCTGGTAAGGAAATTTTATATAGATATTTTTTCTTAATTTCTATATAATTCAATTGTTAAGATGTAAACAAAGTAATTCGAGTGGTTTGATGTTAACTGCTCTGTTCTAGAGAAACACACTAAGTCTGCACTGTTCACAGTGGTAGTGATAGGAACCAGATGTCCAAAGAGTTCAATTCCTCTAAAAGTTTCTATGGTTAAAAATAGTCTGCCTGCGGCCTGAGACAATGCTTTACGATAGTTTTAAGATCAAATTTTGGCCCAAAACATTTTTTGTAGAGCAAAATAGGGCGCAAAGAATTTTTTTTCAGATTTATCACTAGTTTACCATTGTCCAAATTGCATATAAAAACTCAGAATGTGTGTAGATCTACTGGTTATTTTGGATAGTAAATAAAATAGCTATATTTGTGGTGCAGACATGGTGATCCATCTCACACCAAACCACTCTGAATAATTTTGTTTACAACTGAACCACTGATTTACTTGGAAATAAAAAAAAAATCAGTGGAATTCCCATTTAAAAAGCACCATGGCTATGTGACCTAATAGAGACTTTAGATTATGTTAATTTTCCATTTACTTTTGGCAACCACAATGGCAACTATGTATTTTGTGATGTGCTTAATAGTCTAGAATTAATGCTGACACTCTCCACTTAACTGATTCCACTAATAACAGTTTAACAGCCTTCCAAAAGGTGCTGTAGTCAAGAGTTTAGAATGGAACCAAAGAAATCACTCACCTCCACCACACGTCTCAGAGCACTCAGTGAAGCCCTCATACTCCCAGTCATGTAACTCCTCCCTCTCTAGAACCACGCTCCTAACTCTCTCACCCTCCTGCTCAGTATTCACTCCAGGGCAGGGAGAACGGTAACAGGGCTGACTCTCTGCAGGCTTCTGCCCCTCACATTCATCGTCTGGAAGGTCAGCCACTGTCTGAGAGAAGGACAGCAACACCTGACATTTCACTGTGCGCCTCTGTGTTCCAGCACCACATGTCCTGCTGCAGGGCCCCCACGCTCCTCGGATAAACCTGGAAAACAAATGTATGCATAGACACACACAGGTTTGTTTTCATACATTGTAAGCAAAACCTACATGCATTACATCATTGCTGTCAGAACAAAACTGTGTTTCTCCAAAATAGTAACTTTGAAGAAGAATGGGAAAACATTCTAAACTTTAATGTACAGTACAAGTCAGAGACCACTACTCATGTTTTTAAAAATATCTGCCAGAATATTGTTCCACACTTCCAAAGTTCAGTCTTAGAGGTTGGTTGCATTTTTTCATGATCCAAGTAATCCCAAACACATCCCATGATGTTGAGGTCTGGGGTGGTCAGTCAATTATCCTGAGAAGACCAGCAGTTGATTTGCCAACTTTCTTCTTTTTGTCTGTTTTCTTTTCTCAGTAAGAGCTTCTTAGCAGCTACACATCCTTTCAGACTCATAGTGCTGAGTTGTCTTCTCACGGTGGTAGGATGGACAGAAACACCTGTGGATTTTTTCGGATCTGAAGCAAGAGTAAGGCTCGATTTTCTCCTCTCTCTCAAAGATGAAAGCTTAAGTACTGTTTATCTGATGATGATAGTCCAGATAGTCTACCCGGTCTTGCATGGTTGTTAGGTGTCATATTTTCTTGATATCTTGTAATAATGTTTTAACAGTTAGTTTTTGAAACTCCTGTTTTTTTCCACTTATTTTCATTTGACTTTCCCCTTCCATATGCAAGTGCATGATTATATCTTATCTTATATCTATATCTCCTTGAAAATGAATAACTTGTACTTCATGGCTGGTTTGATAGGAAATTAAATAAATGAATGACATTCTCAGATTTTTGCACAGTACCATAGAAAGTACTGTACTGTACTGTAGAATGTTCTAAGTCTCATCCTAAATTGAACTTAAACCTCAAAAACCAAAACAAAATTGTCTTGCCTTTTCAGGTCTAAAAATGTAAAACTTTTTTTTTCTTTTAAGGAATCAACATCAGAGGATTTTCTCTGGTTTTCCTACAAAGTCAAGATATTTTTGCCCGAAATAGTGCACCTCACACACACTGATATATATGAAATCATAATACAAATCAGCACTAATAAAAGCACCTCTTTGAAAAGCTGTGTCGCTTCTGGCACTAGCTTCATCCTCACACATTTTAGTCATTTGCAGCTAAGTTCATAAAGTGCACAAGTATTTCTGAAATCCAGCCTTTCCTGCAGTTCATTCAACAGCTGTGAGACATTAAGGCCCAATGCTCTTGAATAAATTGCTTTGATGCCTCCTTCCTCATAGTTAAGAATGAAGCCAGCAGGAGTGTCCTGATGGTATGAAAAGCAAGCTTTACCTACTGTCAACCTGAGAAGAACTGCCACACGCTCATTAAATGAAAGCTTAAGAGGAGTAACTTAAAGAAGAGAGGGCTAATCTGTTCTGTAACTACCTTTCAAGTTAAAGATAACAGTTAAAAATAATGTCCTTTAATCTGCGCCTTGCTAACCACTAGAAGAGCAATGTGGCAAAAAGACAAATCCAGGCCATAAAGTGACCAGTAATTCAAGTCAGAGGGGAATTGTTGACAGCTTAAGTACAGCCCAAGGTGACATCATCTGCACTCCACCTATCAAACAATGAATGCAGTCCACTGTGTGGCAGTGAAGATGTGAATGGCAATAGTAGTATGCTAATGACAACCACATTCAGCATTGATTTCATGAGCAGATGACTAGCTTGGCCTGGGGTACTTTATTCAATTTCATTGTATTACAACATTGTACAGAAGCCCTGAAGGTTAAGGTGAAACCTCCTGACAACAAAACAGCCTAATTTTTCAAACTTCTGCCCTTAAACACTCCACCCCACCCCTCCTGATTTTCCACATTGATGAGAAGCTGTAAAGGGGAGCAATTGTTTATTTCCTGAACCAAACTACCGTAATTGTTGTCCAAACTTCATTGAGCACCCAAATGTCTTATGTTAAATTAATCAGCCAGTAGTGAGTTAGCCCCTTATCTTTCCTCTCAACAATTAATTTTTTAGAGGGCAGAAATTTGAAAAATAAAGCTGCAAAACATTTTTAAGCCAGTTTATTTACTAAGAGTTGCATACAGCAGAAAACCAACTCAAGAATGTAGTTCTATATTTTTCACCCCAGCTTTCAGAGCTGCCTTATCAACGCGCTATACCACTGTATATTTTAGTTTATGCTGTCATCATTGTCTTTTCTTTTGAACTGATACTATCTGTGCTTACATATTAGTGTATAAATGGTTATTGGCTGTATATTGTCTTCTAATGTTTGCCGATTACAGCATCTCTGAGACTTCCACAGTATTTGGAATTGCAATTGTTTCAGATGACAAAACTTCACTGGGGTTCAGGTGTGATTTCCGTGCTATGTGCTAATGGTGTAGTGATTTTAATACAGTATGAAAAAATCTATACAAAAAAGCATACCAAAATTTAAACCATTACTGCCAACATGCCAACGGCTCTCCTCAGCCTTCAATTGTCTTTTTTTGAAAAACTACTGCCAGTGCTCAAGACCAGGCATTAAGGATATCCTATCTAAATTAAGTGGGCAGGGCTTATGCTCTGCATGCACCCACACTCAAATGACTGTTTTTTTTCAAGGTGCTTATAAACTTAAGAGCTGATTTTGGAGTTTTTATTTTTGGAAGGACAGGTATTAAAAGTCTGTGTTGCTATATAATAACAGCTATGTAGAACTAAGACATTTTAAACACATGAAATACCGAAAACTGATTCAAATCTTCAGAAACAAAAATCGTATGAAAACTGAAAATTTACTTAGGCTATTGGGACAAAATGTAGTATCTCCATTTTTTAAATATATTATTTTTTCAAATGCAATTTGTATACATCAACCACCCTTTACATTGTGTGATAATTTTATAATGAATGAACCAATAGAAATTGTTTAAAATTAAAATCCTTTTACATTAACTTCCACTGTGAGTTAAGAACATTTTTCCTTCTTCTGAAAAGCTATCAAATTGGAGGCACAAGGTTTGTTCCGACAGCAACAAGGTGTATCATTACAGCCCTACTATGTGCTGACCATGGAAAGGAGGCTTTCAGTAGATCACTGGCTTCATTCTGATTAACAGAGGGATGATATTGTCTCTTCCAGTGTACTGGTACAGTTGTTTAACAGGGGAACGTCCTACTAACCTGAGAACTGGCTCAAACTCACCTGAGAAAACCAAAATAAAAGATTACTAAAAACTCCTCTTAGGCTGGATTTTGTAGTTGTTCTGCTGCTGACTCCCTTTGATGTCAACTAAAGCTCTTTCACATTAAAGTCTGAGAACCCTGTCTGGGTTTGTGTCCTGCGGGCCTTGAGTCAGCTGCATCCAAATAAGAATCAGCTCTGTGATATAAAAATACTGTGAGAGGATGATGAGAGCACTTTAACTGTCATCAGCTGCTTAAAGCATATGGCAGTGCCTTGCCATCTGTAGGAAATGTGCGATCCTGTGGAATTATAATAGGGTCAAGAGCTGGACTCTTTTCTGATGCTCTAGTCTATTGCTTTAAGTCACTGCTGTAGCGCTAGCCGTTGGCAGCATGTGAGTGTGATCGTGCCTCTGAGGCTGTGCTGCACATTTTTCTCTGGCTGAACTGTGAAACCACAGCATAAGCATGCCTTCCCTCTTTATGATCCGACACAACAAGAAACCAATAACTAGGCTCGGCTGGCCCTAAACAAGCACCCAAGCAGGCTTTTTACGACATCTCCGCAGATGTGGCCAAAGCTTTGGCTAATGCATCAACATCAAAACAACATATTGATGACTCCCCTTTTAGCAGAAATATATCACGACTTGCATTCCAGCCCGTACGCATGGCTTTATTTGTCATTTCTCCGTATACCCACTTCCTGCAGCTATGATTCATACATTGATATATGTGAGAATCATTTTCTCTTTGATTTCTTTTAAGCGTCAACATCATGGCAACGCCAAGACCTGTTGTTCGGTCACAGGCGTGGTAGTGCATGGTCAAACCTCTAAACTCAGGCAGTATGTTTTCTCCTTGATCTTCGCAAGTAATTGCTACAGTGGTTTTGAATGCATCTGAAGAAACAGCAGGCTTAAATCTTGGCAGCGAAGGTGCAATAAGTCTAACACAGGAATTTCCTTCTCGTTTCTCTTGCATCCGTATGCCTGCGCCCATATGGCAGGCAGATATTGTTGTTGGCTTCTGGGCGACAGCATATTATACGCTTTTATTTATGCACTTTTTGGGAAGACATGCCTTTTGCAAAGAACAAAATCATATGCTTTGGCATTAGTCGGCTCTCTCACACTGCAATTCTCTCCAAAACACTGAAAGAAGTAGGCTAGCAATGCTAAAATATATGGAGTATGGTGTAGCACAGTTACCACAACAAATACGTAATGTGAAGTGTTACAGGCTAACACAGAGGCAAAAAACAATGGCTCCATGTATTTAAAATGTCATTATTTCAAAGAGGGATAATTAATTCCAGGCTTTGAGGGCTGCAGCTCAGCAGAGTTTAAAGACTTTGCTGCTCAAATTCATTTGATTCAACTCCTTAGTTAACACCTTAACCTTCTATGTATTTTCAGGGTTAGGCTTAAAGGGCCCCTATAATGGAAAACTCAATTTCCTTACCTTTTTTTAAGTGTTTGCTATAGCACATAAACATGGTTAAAACCTCAAGCATTCCATTAATATACCATCTCCAATCCATACAGTCCATATATGGAAATCAAGTTGTAAAACAGCCCATTTTGTGTTTTTGTGATTACATAAAAAACAGCACATTTAAATATATCCACAACAGTTCAGCCTACAACAGTTTAGCCCCGCCCATTCCACGCTGAAGTTATTTGAGTTAAGTTAGTTGAGTGTTTCCGACCAGACATATTTTTGAATGGGGCACAATACAAGCCAATGAGAACAGAGCTCATTTACATACATTTACAGTGCATTTCAGTCTTAAAGACACAGTAACAAAAACTGTTAAATGTAGAATATGAGCCTTTAACAGGCCTGAGTAATTTTTTTCACAAACTCATAACAGAAGAAAATCATAATTTAGGAATTTTATCTTATTTTGTAAGTTAGGAAATCCTATACTACTAAATCAACATAGATAATTCATTATTATATCTGTTACCAAAATACATGGACTGTTAAAACATAAAACACTTTATAAAAACACATAAAAGCATAAAAGCATATATGTAAACAAAGTTATAGTTAGCTACACAGAAACCAGAATACAGAATACTGTGGCTGCACCATCCTCCTCACTGTTTAATGTTAAATGTTAATGGTTTAGCTTTCATTTGCCAACACCAAGCTGAAGTAGCCTGCTTGCCTGTGCTTTGTGCTTTTGCTCCACAGGCTTCTGCCTCTTTGTTACTCTCTACCATCACTACAATAATTTTGCCTGCACAATTTTGCTACATGAATAAATGTAACACCATTACACTACTTAAAGATGTGTTACCTGTAACAGCAGCCTAAGAACCATAACATTCTATTTTCAGCTAGAAAAAGTTTATGAATGTAGGGTTCTGTAATAGCTACTGTCCATCAAGATAAGATTTTTCACTTTCAATTTTTTATTACTGAAGCCAATTTTATCTTAATTTAAGAAACATTTTTTATCTTGCAACATCTTATCTCAATTAAGATATGCACACAATTAAAATGTAAACATGTAATCAAAATAACATAAAAACTGTAAGTTGGATAGTTAGACAGCTACCACTGTAAAAAAAAAAAACTAACAAAAAAACATCACAACAAACCTCAAGTGTAATGAACTGCAAGTTTGAAAAATTAAGAATATTGTGACAACGTTTCCTGCTTTTTAATACTGCTCCACAGTTTCAGTTTCCATATCCCAAAGCTTTAGCTGCCTTGCAAGCCACGCTAACATTTTTCCTCCTGATAAACAGCCACGGGGGAAATGTGTCAGTGATAACATTCTCTTTCCAATAGAGCAGCTAGTGGTACAAATGTATGGTTAAAACAGATGTCAGGACACCTTTCGGAGGACAGTATTTAGGAAATTTTGTCTAGTCAGCCACTAGATGCTTCTAGATGTTCTAGTTGTGTAATATTGTTATCTGGAGTTGGATTAAACAATGAAGGAACTGTAATTCTGTAATAGCTTCTGTCCTAAAATCGATCCTAAGTGAAGTTGTCATGCTGATTAACAAGATTTTAGAGTTAGGATGTTTCTGTAACATGACTTCTTGGAGTTTAAGGGGAGTTTAAACATCAAACTGTGATGAGATCTGGTCCTCCAGGACAGAGACTGATAACCCCTAATTAAATACATTGATGACTCATGTAAATCATAGGTAAACAAATAATCATTTGGAATTTACAACTAATTTTACTAGCCTGAACTGATACACACCTGATGTACACCTTTAAGGCAAGGAAAGTGAAGTCTGGCATTAAAATGCACTTAGAATGCAGTGCCAGTGTTTTCTTATGGTTTAAAGAACGTCCTTCAGTCACAGTGGTTACTACATCACTGATCCTTCTCTTTGAAACAAACTGAACTACTTTAATCTTCTAAGAGCTAAATGAATCATTCTTTACCTCAAAATGTCATGAAGTCATACAAAAACAATGGTCACCATCCAATTCTACCATGTCTGCCAAACTCTACAATTCCTGTGGTTTTCACCTTAAACAATGTACATTACGAGCAGCAGATACCTCAGCTTCAGGTCTCAGTGCTATTCTCGACTGATCTCGAAGACGGCTTAGGCTGTGCACTCACCCCTCTATCCCCCAACTCAATGTTAAATCTTAAAAACGGATATTTAGTACTGTAAATCTCCACGTTTGTGTAGTGTGTCTGCAGATGCTGTTGTTGGGCTCCATTCCTCTTCATAAATCATCACCTGACCCAAAAAGCCTGTGATGGTTTCAACAGAACATCTGCGCACAAAAAGGTACGAGCTACCCCTACTCACTCTCCTCTTTCACTTCACACTGTTTCAACCAATCACATCATTTAAGGATCAGCCAGCTCAGGGAGACCCTTTGTGAGAGCAGATTTTCCATCTGAAGGCTGGAGAGCATTCATGAGATTTTTCTTCCTTTAAATCTGTGCTAAGGAAATAACGTAGACCTCTTTAGCTGATGTCAGATTCTTTTAAGGCAATCTTTAAGTCATACGAAGGAAACTATGACCTGAAAATTCTGAAAATTCTTATTCTCCTTTAAGTCAGTGAAAATCCACAGAGACCACTACTGAAGGACCCAAAAACCTCCAGGCCCACAGTTTTACTGTTATTTCAGAGCTAGAAGCACTTACATTGGCTCTTCAGACACAGCAGTATCTTCCTCCAGTTCTATGGCTTGCTTGAACCATGGTGGCTTTGCCTCCACAGGGAGCTTCTCTAATAAAACAGAGAAAGAATAACACAATATTTGTGACCTATTGTAAAGGCTGTGTAACAGGGTGTATTATAAGTAGAGCTGTCACTATTGTTTATGTGATTATATTAGTAATTACTAATAAACTACTCATCTACGGATTTAATTTTACAAAAGATCAACTGAAACAATACTAAATATAGTGTGTTAGTTAGTTAGTTTATAGGTATAGTTTTAGGCAACTGGGAAAATTATTTATTTTTAATATTTAAAAAAGCTTTTTAATTAGGCAATAACTATTTCCAAACCTCTCCTGTTGAAGCCCAATATGTTGTAGCATTAACATTATTTCTCAGTGAAATTAAGGCCTGAGCCCAAACCCTGAAAAACAGCCCCAGACCATTTTCCCTCCTCCACCAAACTTTACTGTTGGCATTATGCATTTCAGTAGGTGGCGTTTTCCTTGCATCTGCCAAATTTAGATTTATTTATCCAACTGCCAGATAGTGAAACATGATTCAACACTCCAGAGAACATGTTTCCAATACGGTCCAGAGTCAGCATACTTTACACCACACCAGTCGACGCTTGGCATTGCACATAGAGATATTAGGCTTGTGAGCAGGTGGTCAGCCTTTGAAACCCATTTTATGAAGCTCTTGATGCACAGTTCTTGTGCTGATCTTGCTTCTGGAACAGTTTGGAACTCTGTAGTGAGTGATGCAACAGAGGATTGGCAATTTATATGCGCTATGCGACTCAGCACGCAGTAGCCCCACTCAGTTTACACAATCTACTGTTTTGTGGCAGATTTTTGTGACAGCTGTTGTTGTTTCTAGACACTTTCATAAACTGACTTGTGGCAAAGGTGGCGTCCTATGACAGTGCCACGTCTAAAGTCACTGAGCTCTTCAGTGTCACCCATTCTACTGACAATATTTGTCTATGGAGATTGCATAGCTGTGCGCTTGATTTTATACCCCTGTTAGTAATGGGTATAGCTAAAACACTTGAGCTCAATTATTAGGAGGGATGTCTACATACTTTTGGACATATAGTGTCTTTGTATCTTTTCATAATCTAATGTTTTAAGACAGAACAATAAAATAGTGTGTGTGAAGAGTGAAAACAGAGTGTGTGAAGTCAATACACCTTAAAACATATAAATGCAATGGAATATAATACATTTGTGTTTCTTAACTAAAGACATACTTTTGAGGGTACCACTCAGTGACAAGAGGAGCACCACCCCAGTGATAGTTTAGTACCTTTTTTCTGAAAGTGTTATTTCGTGTTTTAATGGCAAAATCACATTTACTGCTGAGATAAATGGTCATATCATTATGCAAAGTGTCAATTAATTAATGCTGATCTTGAAGAACGTAAATCATAATATTGTTGCAGTTGATGTGCAATTAGAGTTAACCCTTTAGTGTTGCCATTGTGCTTCCTTTCTTGTCTAACTACAATATAAGAGTAATTAAAAAAAAAACCCTGAAGATTTTATATGCAAAATGGCACACATATACATACATACACACATGCCATATGGCAAGGGGTATGGCAACAGCATGTGATGGTTAAATAGCAATGTGCAATGCACACAATAGGGTTAAGTTAACACAATGCCATTAGATACTGTACACCGCAAATTAAAAAAAATTAAAAAAATATTTTTTTTAACATTCCAAGTTGATGATTTTAACAATGTAACTATTTCATACCTATCTGTGTCTTAAAAATACTTATGCATTAATGATAGTTATGCACATGCTTTATTTCAAGCCTGAATGATTAATGTGCCCAATGGCTGTGTATATGTATACTTCCTCTGTATGCATTGCAGATTTCAGTCACATTAAGTGTATTAATTATGCCATTTCTATTAGACAAATCATGATGGTTTATCATCTGTTTTTCACAATTCATGCAGTAAAGGGTTAATAGTGCAAATAGGTAAAAAATCTGAATGGTCATTTCAATAAAAAGGCATCACACATCAGCTGCTGGGTAAGTACAAGTAAGTCAGACTAAGTGCCTACCTAAGGGCTTGTAACAGGGAACAGGAACCAGGCACTCTTCCTTTATGTGTGGCTTTGTGGTGGGATTGCAGCCTCCAGCATGCAAGCCTCTGTGATCGATGCACAGGACCACTCTGTAACGCAGGCCTTGTCCACAAGTCACTGTGCACTAAATAGAAGATACTTCTATGATATATACAGCAAAAAAATGAACAAATCAGCTAAATAAGCTAACAGGGCAAGCTCCACTAACAAACAGCTACCACTAAAAAAGCAAACAGCTTGCTTCTCATTCTCTTGAAGCAGTGGGCCCAAAAGATTGATTTTTATTAAATGACTGTTTACCCTAAGTTACATCTGTAGATACACAGCCTGCATGCTTAGCTGTAGCTGTTGATTGGACAAGACCAGTTCTTAAAACTGGTGGTTTTGGCTGGATTTAGTCCATATCCATTGTTTGTAGTAAGTGGAGATCCATTGTTTAAAATTTTGTGAAAGTGATAATCAAAGAGATTTTGCCATTTTACATTTTTAAAAACTTAGTCAACTAGTATTTAAAGGAAGATCCCATCAATTTTTCAAAATTTCTGCGCAATTAAATCATTAAGATGCAAACAAAGCCATCCGGTGTTTCAATGTGAAATTCACAATTTTAATGACTCTTAAAGCTACCAAAGCTTAAATTTCATATTTTAGAGAAGGTTTTGCATCATATTCAGAACATAAAGAGTGACATAAGCACAAGGTGTTGCATACCGATCTGCAAAATTTAGTCAGAATGGCCTGAATCTTTACTGACAATGCCTCTCTGGAAGCATTTCAGTCCCACGTCAAAAGAAAAGGAAGAAGACAAAAACTCTGGCTGCCTATAAAGAGCTTTTTCGGTTTGTTCTGCCAATACAAGCATTTAACAGAGGTTTAGAGAGAGGAATGCTGAAGGTAAACAAAGCCCCAGGTTTTCATATTTTTCATAAGGCCACAAATGTGGATTCATTGGTTCTTGGTTACACTTTTCAAAAAGAAAAAGACTTTCCTTTTGAAATTACAATTCACAGGAGACACTACTTTGGGGATAATCAGATGGAAAGAACGAAAGCTCAGCTTCTTCTTCAGAAGTAAGATACTGAATCTAAACATGTTTTTTCACAACTGCTCTTTTTTTTAGTGTAGATTGGCCTTTGGGTGATATAGGATTACAACTGCTTTTTATTTGTTTCTTTTTCAAAGTTTTATGTGTTCTGGAAGTTGTAGTGTTGTCAGAGATGAGAACCCTATCCTGCTACCGGTAATAATATGGGAGTGTAAAGTTTAGTGTCTATTTGTTTTAGTGGAAGCTTCAAGCCCACCATGCCAAGAAATGCCACTTGCGGTGAGGTGAGCTGTTAGAGAAGTCATGCAGCGCCATTCATTCCAGACCCTGAGAAGATTAATCGCCATGTTTTTTTCACCTCCTTTCACTAATTAACACATCGTTAGCAGTGGAAAACTGTGCGGGATCAGAGATAACAGAGATTAACGAGCTACTCACTGATGCATGATTGCGGGTTAAGTGTTAACAGTGAAGAACAAAAACGGGGCACAAAGACATTTCTGGTACAAAGATCTGAGCAGGAATCCTGAGATGTTTCTGAGGCTCAGAGCAATTATGAGTATTTAACAGTGAATAATACAATACCCAAGGGTGAGCAATTAAGTTCTAGGTATACATAGACTCTAAATTAGGATGACTACTTATGTCGAAGACAAAATGCTAAGGCTTGGGCTTATGCCAGCACCATAAAACAACTCCTTGGAAATGCAAACTTCTCAGCTTACTGCAAAAAAGACTGGAGACACAGCACCTCAGGGTTGGACTCCTTACCAGGTATGTTATACATGTTGGCATAGGCATTTGACATGTTGCAAAATGGTTCAGGTATAATTGTGTTAATTGCTTTTAATGGGAGTTCACCACAAGTTCAACTAGGAAACCTACCATTAAATAGGAGCTTGCCATTGAGTTTCTTTCAAATGATTATCCAACAAAAACACTGTTTCTAAGAGTAGCCCTTCTGAAACTGAGAATAAGCTATATATCTGATAACTACATAAGGACAAAGAAAGGCCTTACAAATACGAATAAAATGAAGTCTTGCCTAGAATAACAAACTCACTGAGAACTAAAGTTGGCGTTTAGTGTGCAAGTTATTTTTGAAAAAAAAAAGTATTGAACAAAATGAATCACAATTACCGGTGACCACTCCTGTGCAAGCCATGTTGGGCAGTCAAATGTGTTACATGGCTGTAGGATGGATGTCTTGGATGCATACAGACATTTCCACTCATCTGTGGGAGTGATGTTTCCCTGCATGTCTTCTTCCACACAGGAAACCGAGCGGCTCTGGACCCCTCCGCCGCAGGACGTGGAACAGGCCGTCCACGGGCTGCTCTCCCACCTGGCGATATTGATTTAGACTACGTCAAAGTGCTTCTTTATTTCAGGTTGAAAACAATGTTTCTGATGTTAGTAATAAACACTGCACATTTATCAAAATAGACCCATCCATGCTCCGTCCACAAATGCATTCTTTCATAGCTCCTGCTGCGAGGTTGGACAAGCTTTACACAACACTGGCAAAAATCCCATTCCGCCTTGTGAGAAACTTCAGCGCTCAGTTTTTTATCAAAATACTCACATTTGGAGTTTCATTCATTTCAAAATAAATTTACTTTGCCTTAGTTAGGGTTAGCTAGGATAGCACAGATGTAGTTATTTTAACCTCACCAAAACTTCTGTGGCTGAATCTGGGATCCAAAGATTTCTGACTCTATTTGGGCCAATCGCTGTCAATTGACTTGACTTGCTCGAGGCAACATACTCACACGTTTCCAGTTTTTGGCTCAATTTTAGAATATATATGACACATACATTATATGGACAAAAGTATTGGGTTCACCTACACATTACATCTACAGGAGCTTTTATGACATCCCATTCTAAATCCATTGACATTAATATGGAGTTGGTCCCACCTTTACAGCTATAACAGCTTCCACTCTTCTGGAAAGCTTTCTACAAGATTTTGGAGTGTGTCTCAGGGAATTTTTGCCTATTCATCCAGAAGAGTATTTGTGAGTTCAGACACTGATGTTGGATGAGAGGGCCTGGCTCTCAATCTCTGTTCTAGTTCATCCCAAAGATGTTTGATGTAGTTGAGGTCAGGGCTCTGTGCGGGCCAGTCAAGTGCTTCCACACCAGACTCACCCAGCCATGCTTTTATGGACCTTGCCTTGTGCACCGGTGCTTAGTCATGCTGGAACAGAAAAGGGCCTTTTCCTAACTGTTCCCACAAAGTTCGAAGCATACAATTGTCCGAAATGTCTTGGTATGCTGAGGTATTAAGATTTCCCTTCACTGGAGCTAAGGGGTCTAGGCCAACCCCTGACAAACAACCCCATACCATACTTTACAGTTGGCACAATGCAGTCAGGCAGGTAATGTTATCCTGGCAACCGCCAAACCCAGACTCGTCCATCAGACTGCCAGATAGAGAAGTGTGATTTGTCACTCCACAGAACATGTTTCCACTGCTCCAGAGTCCAGTGGCGGTGTGCTTTACGCCACTCCATCCGATGCTTGCCATTGTGCTTGGCGATGTAAGGCTTGCATGCAGCTGCTCAGCCATGGAAACCCATGCCAAGAAGCTCCCGGCACACAGTTCTTGTGCTGATGTTAACCTCACAGGAGGTTTGGAACTTTGCAGTTATTGAGTCAGCAGAGCTTTTATGCCTCAGCACTCGGCAACCCTGCTCTGTGTAACATTTTGTGGACTGTCACTTTGTGGCTGAGTTGTTGTGGTTCCTAAAACTTCCACTTCTCAATAATACCAATCACAGTTGATTGTTAAATATCTAGGAGGCAAGAAATTTCACAAACTGATTTTTTGTAATGGTGGCATCCATTACAGCACTGTGATCGAATTCAGTGAGCTCTTAACATCAACTCGTTCTTTTACAAATGTTTGTAAAGGCAGACTACACGGCTAGGTGCTTGATTGTCCTGATATATCAGAACAAAGTGTTCTGTGGCAATGTAACTGATTGAAACACCTGAATTCAACTTTTATCCATATAGTGAAGAAAATGTTGTCAGCAAATCCCTCAGAGTAACTTCCACTACTGTACAGTAGCTAGTGCAGCAGGTTATGACATCAACCCTATCAAAATGAGTATCTCACCAGGGATCGATTCTAAGAATTTATTAACGGCCTCTTGTTTAAACCTGCGTCCAGAGAAGAACTGGGTCTTTCTGTATGCTGTGTTTTCTGCACAAGGCTTCTTTTATTGTTGGATGCATTGTGATTTTTTTTCTGAATGAGTTTGTGAGCTCATTTCGAGCTCAGTTCACAAGCACTAACAAAGCTTGCAATGTCAAAGCTGACTAACTTTCTGCTTAGCCTATAAATCAGATGTTTCTCTTTAAGAACTCTGATAACAAGGCAAAATAAATCTATTCAAAAATAAAAAATGTCAGCTTCTTGTTGGGAGATCACAAGTTCGATCCCTGGTGATACCACAGTCACCCGTGTATGGAAGACTTAGAGAGCATGACTGGTCTTGCTCTCCCAGATGATGCTAGCCAACACAGGTGTCGGTTGAGAATTAGCAGTTGCATTCTCCTCTAAGCATGTTAAGCTGTCTATGTTGCGTTTGCAGCAGTTCAGAAAAGATGCAGTGTCTGGCTTCATGTGACTTAAAGGAAGCTTGCGCTCGCCTTCACCCTTTCTGCTATGTAGCACTGTGTGTTATAGGACTAGATCTGTCTATTGGAAATTCAACTGGGGAGAAAATTGGGTAAAAAAAAAGAAAGAAACAGACAGCACACTCTAACTCAGATATTTTGACAAATGCTGAGCTTGGTAGTGCAATTTGTTATAAGGTTGAATGGGATTTTTGCCAGTGTTGTGCAAAACTTGTCCAACCTTGCAACAGTAGCTATTAAAGAATGCATTTGTGAGTGGAGCATGGATTGGCCAATTGTGGTTATTCCTTGGGTATTAAACGCATATAAAATAAGTATTCACAAGAAAAAGCCTAAGCTCCCCAACCAATTCTTTTCTCTCTGCTGTATATGCTGAAAGGCACAGGCCCATTTACTTCTCTAAGCATCTGTACTGACTACCTCATGAGGACTGAAAGCCTTCACTGTCTCAGCCTGGCTCTGGGCCCATCCCGTGCTTCACTGGAATAGAATCTGAAACCGCTGGCTCTCCGCTATTGTGGAAGGGAGCTTGAAATGTTACTCGGCAAAGGCAGTCTCAGGTGGACTGGAAAGCTGGACGGGCCTTGGTGGTTAGCAGCAGGCCAAGGAAAAAGTGCAGCATTAAGTCTAGGAGTGAGGTCGAGGTACATACCGTGGCAGCGGGTGGTAGAGGTCATAGGGCATTATTTGCTTGTAGCCATCACTGTGAATTGGACATTGGGAATATGTTAAGGTTATGATATAGGTTCTGAAAGCCATGACACTTATTAAGTATGATCTACTGTAGAGCACTTTTAACCAAATGCAAGAGAACAGTTTCTAGGAAGAAGCACTTTCACAGTGTATAACAGTTTCAACTCCTTAAGTGAGGCCTGGACGTGGGCCTATACTTCAACTACTCACTCTGAAAAACTGGACAATAGATATAGCTATGGACAAACATCAGGCTTCAGGGTGGTGGCTAATACTGTTTTAGCCATACCGCAGACCATTTAGGTTTTTGTAGATAACAGTATACAGTAGTTTCAGGAGCCAAATACGTATGATCCATTTCAGATTACTTAGCAAGCTGACATAGGCAATGATTTGATGATTCACGTAATAGTTTGCACAGTACTAAACTGATTGCTTACTTGTTAGCTACAATAGTCTCCAGTGCAGAATTAAAAAAGTGAGCTTGGGTAAAAGGAAAACTGTTTAGCTTTAAGGGCTTAACCACCCACCTGGCAGGGCAAGGGTCCATGTTGCACTCCTGCAGTTTGGGTTTGGGTTTGACATTCTCAGGGTAATAATGGCAATACTGGTCCACCACCACACGATCACTGCGCAGGTCAAAGCACTCTGCTGAGGTCAGCTGATATCCTGGGTCCGATAAAAAGAGAAGTCAGAAATTCATGTAATGTGGTCATGTAATGAGAGGTTGTTCACTTTTTTGTTCATGTGTAGTGACCAGAAGAATAAAAAATGCTCCCAGAGAAATAAGAGGTTTTGTTGTTTTATAAGTATAAATGAGTTTCTCTACAGGAAACAAACATAAATATGACATTTGTCTGCAAATTTTACTGCAAAATTTGTATTTATTTGCTGAGTTTAACACATTGGAAAAAAATAAAATATGTTATTATTATTATTTCTTTTACCTCCACCACAGGTTACAGAACAGGGGAAGAAGTCAGTCTCTCTCCAGCGATGGACAATGGGCTGGTAGAAGATAAACTGTACCACGCTGTCCACACCACTGGCATAATGAACCTGATATATCAGAACAAAGCATTCTTTAAAGTAATGGATGGTTTACATTCCACACCATTCTAACTTGTGTTATAGTTTTAGGCATCTTTATCAGAGAATCTCATACAAACAAGCAACAAGTAACAGTAACAAAACAACTTCTGGCTAAAACAAATTCAAATCTTAAATAGTTAATTAACTCTTTATGGGCTCAGAAAGACATTACTACTGGATGACTTCAGTCAGTTGCCAGGAACAGCTAGTGTGTGTCTGTTTTCCATGATGTGCAGCTAACCATACTGAACCCATTTAGCTGTGAAGACCTGAATGCCAGTTCTATAATTGTGTAAACAGAGGATAATGATCAAAGTCCTTTGCTCACCATTCTACCATCAATTAAACTGCTCTGACAGGACCTGTGAGAAACAGCACAACCCTGCTCAGAATCCTGAAGAACTCTTTGTCTCATGAAACAATGTTTGGAAAAAAAACTTGGGACTAATGAGGAAGAGGCTAAGACCCACTTACGGATAAACCACTGTTTATGTTATAGAAGGTAACTGCAGAATATTTTAGGACAATATAGAAGAATGTGAAGAGATTTTATTCCAAGCAATTTTGGAGGACTTTAATCGATTGATTCATAGTGAAATATAATACTATGTGTTTTATAAATGTGTTTAAAACTGGTCATACTTTTGATGGTCCACTATTGCTTATCTGCAAATGCACAAATTGCTAACAAAGTATCTGTTATTTCTCAGCAGGGTTAACTTAGGACCAGGGGTCTGCCTCAATAAGCAAGTTCAACAGGATCACAGACTACCCAGAAAAAGGTTAGACTGAACTAAGCATAAAGTTAGCTGGCTAAGCAAGAACATCTACAACACATTTACAGTAGACAATTAAGGGTCCGCATCTTATATTTTACTTCTATTTTATTTTTCCCTAAGAACCACTTGTGACATTGGTATGTTTTTGTACCAAAAACATAATTAATTTTTACATGACCATTTTCTATCCTCTCTTTATCCCATACAATTAAACAGGCGGTTTTGTTATTGTGCCTTTAAGATCGATATATGTAAACGAGCCCTTTTCTGACTGTCTGCTCTGCATTGTGCTTCATTCAAACAGTACTCGGAGCACAAACACTGGGTAGAACTTCAATATATATGGGTGGCGCTAAACTGCTGCAGGCCGAATAGACAGGTATACATAAGTACTTTGGTTTTTCATGAAATCACAAAAATAAATGAATTCAAAATGGGCTGTTTTGCAGCTCTGCTTCCATGTATAAACAATAAGGACGTAATATTGAATGGTACATTTTGAAACTTTAACTTACTAAATACATACTACATCAAACTCTTTTATTCCAAAGAAGCAAGGAAATTCTGTTTTCCCATAATATGTGTCCTTTAAAATAAAGCCAAAAATTCATATAAAAAGAGTTCCCAGCCGCTTTATGATGAGACATTACAAAAGTAGTATTATCCTGAGACTAGCTGTCGTCAGTCAAAAGAGCAGGCATATCCAGCTATCACTGGAGTTAGTGTGGGGGATTATGGACGTGATGCTGCTTTGACAGACTAATGCCTCATGAAGATTGGGACGGGGCACACAGCCAGCAAGACCACAGCTCTACACAACAATCTCTGCGCACAGTCTGGCCTTACATCACAGCTCTAATGGCAGTGGTTACAATGCCCTTACTCTTAGAGAGCTGCCTGGCATCACTTTAACTTTATAGCTAACAGACATCCAATGAAGACACGGCACACTTGAATCCCATTATCCTCGAAAAACAAAACACAACTGAACTCCGGCTGACCCTTTCACACTCTCGTAGCATCTCTCAAGGTTTGTCCACACCTCTAGCCCACTTCTGAGAGCCGGATAACAGTGCTGCACTGTCCGCTGCAAATGAAGGGTTACGCGTTTCCTCTAGGAGAAACATGACACTTCAAAGAGGCTTCGCAGATCCAGAGATTTTGTTCTCTCTCTTCACAGCTGAGTTTGGATCGAGGCTTTGGGACGAGGCCTTGCCCAAATAAACCTCGGAGACTCGTCGCATTCTTTGGCGGTGACAAAAGTGTTTCATAGTATGGTAAGATATCGCTCCCCATGCGTCCTCACTGAGCCAGGCCTGGAGCGGGGTGAAAACACCCACCACCTCCAGACCTTCATCTACTAATAAAGCCGTTTATTGAAAACACACACTTGCGAAACCTCCCGCTCAAAAACATAAGCTTCCTCTCGGACTCCCTGTTGGTCCCAGATGGATTGTGCGACAACCCGTTTGAGGGGTTTTGGATCCTAATCATTCATCAGGCGAGAAGAATGAAACTCAATCCATCTGAGGGATTCAGAAAGTCGTTTCAATATGAGGCAGAATCGTTCTGAGCCAGATATTATACTGCATGCTGCAGTGCAGATGCGTTCATATCGCTGAAGCATGTTTATATATCGAAAATGACTGGTTATACGATTATACTAATTATTGGCTAAACCTGTTGAAAAAGGGACTTAATGTGTTCTCAGATATCCTGTAAACTGACATGTTTATATAAAACGGATTCCTCAAGGCTGGGTATCTGAACATTGGGCAACCGGTCAGAGGAATTGAACAATTCACACGTTTATTTACAATGGAACAAACGTCCGCCTTGTTTTAATGAGTTTTTCCACATTGCTAAGCCTCTCCAAAAACTGTGATATGAACTGGCCATCTTCCTGGTAGCAGATTAGAAAATTAGTCATTTACTACTTCTCAGATTTCTGTCTCCGACCGTTCCTATTTATTGTGTTATTTGGATGTGTTTTAGGGGGATGAGGGGTTGTTTTTACTGGCATTTTCCATCTGTGGGCTGCTTCTCTTTGAATGGCTATTTCCATTAAATGTATGATGGCCAGCACATTAATCTAGGGAGCTGCTCGATGGATTGAGTAAAAGTAGAGGAGAAATAATTGCTGTGTGGCTTTCAGCCAGGAATCTAATTAACTTTTGGAAGGAGTTCAAGCTGAGATGCTGTACATGCTAGCTGACCTGCATCGAGGCAAATCCACCAGGGGACTCCAGAGTGCTGAGTGAAGCTCATAATTACCCATGGTACTGTATCCCAACCGCCTCCCTGACACCTAGCATGTGCCCCAACCTGGCGCAGTGCATGAGCGTGAGAGGAGAGAAAAGGGTGGACGCAGGGGATTTCCATATACATTACCACACAGCCTAAAATCGTTTACTTTTCTGAGGCAACGTTGATCCTGGTAGTAAATTTTGCATATACTGTGCAGAATCAGTGGAAGCAGCTACACATCTGCACTATAGTAGAACTTTTCCCACTTAATTTGTATGCTTATACAACAGAGGAGCCAATAATTGTTTATGCAAAGAGACAGTGAGAGATTTAAATACGTCATACCGGAGTAAAAATTGCAAGTTATTCTAACACTGAGAAAACTGACCATCAGGTAGTTCTATAACTGACTCAGCTTTAGTAAGAGGCAAGAAGTTTATAGCAAGAAGTACACATACTTTTCTTACTCCAAAACCAGCTTAGAAGAGAAAGCAAAACATTAACTGTATACATTCCAACATGCAGTGAAGCACAGTTACTTTAACCATGATGAAACTGAACAACTGTTCAATCAACAACTGAAGAATGCCTGGAATCAGGAAGATCATTAAAAATCCAAACTAAGAATAAGGTGATCCTGAATCAGATTGGCAACTGGCCTTCAGTAAAATTATTCCCTTATGCTTAGAACAATAGTTTTATAATACATAAAAGGCGGAATTAATTTTTTTCCCTCAATGATCATGTAATGGACACCTTGTCTTACTTTAACAGTAAAGTCAGCTTCTAGTGGTCCGGTGATTCTCAGAACCTCCTTGTCTGAGAGCTTTTGGAAGTCAATGGTTGTGTTTTCCAGAATGTACTGCTTGGTCCCATCCAGAGAAAGTTTCTCCCTTTGCCCCCTGTAAGGTCTTGCTTTCTAGGTCTATAAGGAACAAAACCAACAATCATGTTTTGTTTGACTCACACATTACATGAAAAATCATAAATACATCAATCAGTGTAAAGTGAGGTGGAGAACCCTCAGGGCATTCTAGAAGGATTGATAACTTCCAGGAATTCAAAAATATATGTCTGCAATTAGTGTGTTTTTATTAAATACTATCAACAAGTTTGTTGTCTGCAAGTATTTTAGTAATACTTGTATGTCACTGTAAAGTTTTGGTTGCAAACAAAAGGCTTAAGACATTGAAATGCCCAATGGAAAATAATCCAATCAAAATTTCTTTTCTCTGTGGTATCTAGGTAGATTTCAGCCAGATCTCTCACTGATTAGGACTTCGGAAGCTGAGCTGAAGGCCTTACATGTTAAATTATCTACTAACATTAGACTAATTAGGAACTGGCAGTGAAATCAACCAATCACATTTTCATTTAAAATGGATGGAACTAAATTTGTGAGAAAAAACATCATTCTAGGCTTTTGTAAAGTTGTCACTAAATATGTCACAGACTGCAAGTACTAACGGTAGTCTAATGAGGCTTCAGTCAGATGTTAGAAATGGAAAACAGTGGCAGCTCTGTGCAAGGGCTCTTTACTGAAAAAAACATTGTAAAACTGCTACATACCAGGTAAATGATACGTTATTGTCTGTTATTGGCAAGCTTCAGTAGTGCATTTTAAATTTAAAATGGCCAAAAAATGTTTATGTGAACCAGTGTTGGTTTAGCACTAATATACTATACAAAGAGTTTTGATAATCCTGGCCAACACTGAAGGTATAGCTCAAATAGTCACAATTTACTGCCATAAGGCCTAGTTGACCTTTACAACTCAGGATAAGCATTGGTAACAAGACCATCCACCTCTGGCTTTGTAATGATAATGAGTAATATGAACTGTTGAATACCAGACACACTAAGAAAATCTCCCTTTACTTTTGTTATTTGGAAGACTAAGCTAAAGAAAAAAAAGACAAAGACCAAAAGATTTTGTACTGGATTCTCTCACTTGTGCTTGGCTCTACTGAAAGGATGGGTAATGGCAGAGCACTTGAATTTGTGTTGCCTTACTCTTTCCATAACGTGACCTGGAGTCAACCTTCAACTAATGGGGTCCTGTCTTAATCCAGTGTGGACATTTGCGGAAAAACAAAGGGAGAATGTGAACACATCCAAGAGTGTCAGTCACTGCCAACAGCCAGATGGTTACTATTTGGTTGCCACTGGTAAGAAAATTGCCAAAAAACGTGTCCATGAGAAAAGAAACTACAAGATATCTTCAGGAAAAAAGCTTTAGCTGGCTGCAAGGAGAATAAAAAAGGATGGAACATTTGTCTTAAATTTTACCGCAGATTATGTGAATGGTTGCCAACATCTTGACATCACTGATACTAACCCTGGAAGTCTCTAGATCTGAGCACAACTGCAATGTAAGGGGGTGGGGGGGTATGTCTCTACTAATTTAGTCTCCACTTTCAGGGGTCGGGTATTCAGACTGTTGGCGCACTGCAGAACAAACTTATCATTAATGGTCATTATCGTAAAAACCTTCTGTTGGAAAAATCCCTGCCAAGCACCCCCCCAGGGGGTATCAACAAGAGAAGAGCTAACTCACGAGATGTTCCTCTGCTGGACTGCTTATATGGTAACATTATATAGTAGTACATTCAAATATGCTGATTCAACCGGATCTTGAGCAGCAGGTCTTCAAACCACCAATATGTGCAATGAGATTAGATTCTCCAAGAGTCATCACTTACATATGTCCATTCAATGATTAACCCTTTAATGCAGAGACAAAAAAAAATCCTTTAATAATGTGACTTCCCAATTTTGATGTCGGAATTTTGTTTTTATTACCTAGTACAAAAATGGACAATGAGTGTAGATACAAGATATACACCTAATAAAGTGTCCAGAGAGTTAGTAGTAGTGCTTTGTCATAACTGTTATACCGATACGCCACAAAAAAGTGCAGATAACGCAATGTACAAGCAGTGCAAGCCACGCTAACATTAGCCTGTTCGTTAAGGATGTTTCAGTCATGTTTCAAAATCTCCTGCTGTTTAGTCCACTGTAGCTGAAGTAGTCCGTTTTGTTTTTGAGACAGAGGACAAACAGGAATGGCCAGTCTTTTGGGGTTAGCCATAGCCTAACATGGACACCAGAGCTATTGCCAGCCTTCTGTTTTCTCTCGTACCACTAGAGAACTGCCTAAATTGGTCAGCTGCATCAGAAAAGGCCACAGTCAGGGCCTTGTGTGCAAAACCATAATGAACGTGCATGATTGTAATATTTCTATTAATGGAATTATACATTGCATTAGTGTCTGATGGTCAGAAGCATGAATATATGGGATGTGCATTTGAGACAAATGACTTGAGAAATTCGACAAAGCTGAAGTTGGCTTCTTATTAGAATTTCCCATTCCAGCTTAAATGGTATAGCAGTTACATTCAGTGCAGGTGCCAGAATGTAACTGCTGCTCTATGTAAGGTTTTACAGAAAATCTGAATAAAAAGCTGCTGAATAGGCAGCAAACTTATTAGAAATTCAGACGTGAATTACTATTTTGCACAATGAAATATTTCAAATGTACTTACCAGAATAATAAGACACTGCTAACCTACAAAATAGATTTATTTAAGCATCTAAAATGGTTTTACTTGAAAATATATTGTGATATACCGCAACAGCCCACTTCTACAGTAAGTCTACTTCCATCCAACACTAAACTGCCATGTTTCTTTTGTACAGTGATAGAAAACATAGTAACACACAGAAAGCTCAAGTTCCCCATGCTGCTACATTTTACTATGACATGCACACACAATTCTGGAGCAGATTTTAATGAGTTACAGGGGAAGTCTCTGAACGAACTGCAGACAAGATCTTCGGCAAGATGCTAACAAAACTAGTTTTGAGGATTTCTCCATTCTAAACCTAGATGACATTGGACCCTCTCTTACTATAAACATATATGATAAATGCAATAAACGTATAGTAAAATGAACGGCATAACCACTTGTTATCTTCTCAGTTCTGAATGGAAGCCCCTGGACCTACCAAGACTTACACAAGTGATCCGGGCCTTTCAGAACCAGCCGCACATGCCTGCTTCCATAGGGAATAACAATCACAGTGTCTTCAGCTGGGGAATGAGAGAAAAAGCAGGAGACAATGATTAAAGAGACACCATTATTGAAGTCAGATGTGATCATTAAAGTGATGTAAGCTGTGTAGAAACAAGTGAGTCAAACCAAGAACAATAGAAAACAAAACCCGCACCATGTGCGATGAGTGGAATATGGCTTACTTGGGACATGTTTCGAAGCTTGCTGTTTAATAGGGTCAGCTTGGCTTAGGGATCTGTCCCAAACCTACTCCCTTGGATTTACTAGTCATAGTCATTCAACCCTCATAAAAATGCTAATGACAGACTGCTCTGGCTGCAGCTTTGGCTGTGTTCGGACCATTCGCTATTCCCCCATTGCAACTATCCAACACAAACGGTAGATATGACAACTTCATGGGAGTGAAATTAAAGTGTGAGCTGGAAGCTGACCCACAATACTGAAGCAAACTCTGACATAGCTAAAGCAGCATCGGAAGGTATGGGCATTAATTATGGTGGGTTTTTCACCAGAACTCTACTGGGCTTAAAACTCATTTCCTTTGATGAAGCAGTACGAGGCAGAACTTGCTTTAAGACGGCAGGTGAAGTGTAGCGCAGGTGCATGAGGGTTTAAATTAATCACAGGTGGCTGATGTAGTAACTGAGTGCAGTGCCACTGAGAAAAGCCAGACACTGTCAAACAATTCGTGCAACCAAAGCTGTTATTTAGATGTCTTGACAAGGCCATAAAAACATGCAATGGGAAACGTAACAATTTATACAAGGGCGATTTTGAATTTCTATGGAGTTAATCTTCTTTGCTCTTTCTATATAGCGTTAGAAAGACCAAAGAAGTTGACAGAAGAATTAGTTAAAGTGGACATATTCTACATTTCATTCTATTTATTTTTTCCCCTCAACTTATAGTTATAACATTTACATGGGTTTATGCACCTAAAACAGTCATAATCCATTTTTACAGGACCATTTTCCAACCTCTCTTTATCCTTTAGATTTAAACAAATAGTTTAGGTAACTGTGAATTAAAGGCTGATACGTGTAATGTGTAATATATTGATACATATTTGTATATTCACAGTCCAGGCTAATGTCAACATGAATAGGCAGGGCTTAACTGCTGTAGTTTGAATAGCTGAAATATTTGTAAATGTTCTGGTTTTTATGACTTCACAGAAACATTGCATTCTAAAGCCCTATTTGGACTGGATTAAATTAACATCGGGTCCTGGGGTAATTTCTTCTTTTAACAAATGCTACTCTGGGATTTTAATTCCATCCAGATCAGCCATGGTGTTTTTTTTCTCCCTCATCCTCTGAGAAAATTACCGTCAGAATTATCTAATCTATTGTTTTTAACCAAACTCAGCGGTTGTCTGATAAATTTAGTCCTGTCCAGACACAATCACTGTGATTTTGGTGGATTTTCCAGGTAAATGTCGCACCGCATTAGGAAAAAGATCTTTTTTGATCACTGCTACTCGCCATATTTAGTCTTCTCGCGCACATATCCATATTAAACATTTTCCAAATCATGGAACAGCGGATGCTTTGGAAGTCTTTCAAACATGCACTTGGTCTGGGTGGTGGAACTTCGTCTCCATCCTGTCTATACTGGGTGAGCACTAGCAGGAGGAGAAACAAAAAAGATCTATCAGGGTCTAAGAAGCGAGATCTCACAGGCTGATTAAAGGGGCGATTATAATGGCAGCTACCTATAAAGAATGTATACGTGTAAAGCTGTGTATGAAGGACTTTATACTCACATACAGCTACACAATATCATCAAAGCATTACTTTATATACAGAATGACCATATGACCATGTGTGATGCAAACATCCAGGTTTGTAGAAATTACAGCGTAAAAACTTGCACCTCCTTTAGTAATTTCATTGCCATTTGGATGTGTGAGTTTTATCACTGAGAAGACGTGTAAATTATTCATTTTTTTACCAATGTCCCCCCGACAAGCTGATCTTATTCAAATAGGCCTCAAGACTGTTTTTGTTTTAGTTTCTATATATAGACTGTATGGACTGGAAAGTGAATAGTATGTAACTCTAACTCTTTTATCTCAAAAAAGTTACAGAAATTAGTTTTTTCTGCATTATGGGCCCTTTAATTTCTGACAATTTCTTGAGTCACTATTTGGATCTTAAGTCACCTCTTGTGAAAAGTTGCTGTTATAGGAATGCAGTGTGTTTGTCCAACAGGAATGGGAAAGAAAAGGTTGTTAGGTATCATCATCAGATATTAGCAGTGCTTGCAACATCAGATAAATGTGTATTTAAGCTACACACTATGTGAGACTGTTTTGTTTAAACTGAAAGAAGTAGTACTGCTGAATCAGCCTTTACGTATTAACGTCACACACAGACTCAAAAAGAAGGTCTGGCTCGATGTTTAGGTCTCAAATGCAAAATTAACCTTATACTGCTGAAGACATGATGACAGTCATTCACGTACATCCTCGGAAGACGTGTTCACCAAGTTTTGACTGAATTTTCTTTGAATACTCTCTCATCACACTTGCAATCATCAGATTCGTCCTCTTGTGGGGGTCCGAATGAACCAGCGTTACAAAATATTTTTTCACACGTTGCGTGCAATTACACTTTTCCACCAAATCCCCAAAACTTACATAGTGCAGCTTTACATAAAAACAACATTTTGTCCTTACTTTTCCCACTGGCATGCTGAGATTTGTAGTGCCCTCTCACAAGTCTGCAAGACGAACCGTCTCCATTGCAAACGCCGCAGTTGTCCTCTTTAGCAGTGCTCCCTAACTCATGATCACAGCCAACAATCTGCAAACAGGAAAGAAGAGGTCTCAGAGGCAGGAATTTAACAAGAGCTCTGTTACTCTTTTTACTGCTAAGTTAAGAATCTAATTTCCAGCGACCCAGGCCTGTTTCATAATTCAGCATGGTTCCAATCAGGACAGCATAATCTAAATGAAAATCAGTGGCTTGAGTCACTGTTTGGACCTTAGGTCAGTGAAATGCTAGTAATTCACAGCACTCTTCACACTACATTATGCAGGTTGAACTAAGGAACTGTGAGGCTGTGCTATTGTGTGCTTTTGATTTAGACATGCAACATCTCAAGACTGAGAAAATACATTCAAATCACCACGTTTGTGCTGTATTGGCAAAGACATAGGAACACATTCCAATAGTTTCCAGTAATTGCTCTACTGCAAACAGGCATAAGGCATTGATAAAGAAACCAAAGACTTCTGGAGCTGCTTTCATATGCTCATCAAGTAGTCCTATTTCTAGTGGATGACCAATAGGTGGTTTTCAAGAGCTGACGCTGATGCCAGTATTTAGAGAGCAGCATGCCTGATAACGATATTCAACATTACAACAATACTATATTTATATTTATAGAGATTTATTAAACACTACATTTACTGTGTTTCAGTTTTCTAGTATGCAGAGAAAAAGATGGACCACAATCTGTAATTGTAGAACTGCAAAGTGTTGTTAAAATGGATGTTTTAAAATTTTCATTAATTACATGTTAAAGGGATGATCATCATCATCTTTTAGATTGGGATCTCATATTTACAATAATTCCAACAGCACATTAAAGCAGCATTATTTTCAGATAGCTAGCAAACCTGACAGGCCCCACTGATGCACATATCCAAAGACTCTGTGTAGCAGCGTGTCCCATCCAGAACCTTTGGCGCCAGCTCTACCACCAGGTCGGTGCCTTTAGCTCTGCACTTGAGGGCGCACGGGTTCTCGGGGTCATTGTCCACTGGAAGCCATTCGTAGTAGCTGCCCTGGTAGCGCACATCAGCATGGGCTGAGCACTGTTGAGCACGAAAGTCTCCGGATTCTGGTGGGCAATCCTGAGGAGGGGTTCCACAGCATTAAAGGAAAACAAAACACAGTACACTCTGAACATAAGGGAAGCTGTGATTTTTGTTTCTGCCTACTGATCAGTTGTCTGTGTAAGAGCTGCTTGCTCATATCATTAACACACATAGTCAAAGAATGCATACTTACCACATTACTGCATGTGCGGTATTTGATATTCTGCCCCTCACAAGCCCTGTGTGAAAGGAAACAATCAAATTAAGATGGCCATGTATTTAGTAACACTAAGCGGTCACAGTTAGCAGTAGTGTTAGAAGCATGGATGAATTATTTCTCTCGTAGCTCACTGAAACAAGCAGAGCAATTCTGCTGAAAGTGTGAACTCTAAACTTTTAATCAGTGCCACATTTATGTTTGTAAGAAAAAAGAAAATATTGTCATGTGAACTTGACAAGAAGTTGCTGTTGCGCATGGTAGTTTGAGATGTTTTTGACAAATAGTTGTGCAGAAACAAAGTTGTGCTGACTCAAAATATGCAGACTCAAGGCTGTTGCTGCAGACTGCAAATGTAACTTTTCATGTAAATATGGATTTTCAATGAAATTATCATTTAATGAAATGACAAGATTAACTCTAGACAACTGAAATAAGGCCTCAACAGCAAAATAATAACTTAAAAAACAGTTGCCAAAAGATCTTGTTATGGATGAGTTGTTCACTTCATTAAAGGAAAAAAACAGAGAGGAGACTGCAATGCAGGGATATGTAGGAGCCAAAAAGCCAAAAACATGCAAACATGTCACTGTAACGTTATCTAAAAGGATGCTTTATTCTAAATTATGTGTATAAGTTTGACGTGAACACAACAAGGAACTAAGACACTAAAACTGGAAACTCAAAGGTCAGCTTTTCAGCTAGCTCTGTTTTAATTTAATAAATACAGAAACATTCACTGAAAGGATTACATTGTGAGATCATTCATCTAAACTGCATTGGCTAAATTGTGCAATGTCATCACCATGGTTACATTCTGACAATGTATAATGAACAAAAATATAAACGCAGTACTTTTGGTTTTGCTCAAATTTTGCAGCAGTTTGATAAAAAAAAAAATCCAAGATTTTCTTTAGAAATGTCTCACGCTGCTATATTTGCCTGTATAAAGGCAAATGGTGGTCACACCAGATACTAATGCAGGAATTCTGTTTCATGACAAATTTTTTTTTGCAGGATTTCAGTAAATTCTTTTCAGTAAGAAGTGCTATTTTTTGTTCACTGTATTTATATCCACTTTTCTGTTTTTTGTGTGTACATTAAAAATATTTTAAAAATACTGAAAATATTATTAGTGTTTTTGAAAGAGCTGGCCTCACGCACGTGCTGTTGCTGCTAACATGGCTGATAAATGGGCTGTTTCTGTGCGGCTGATACTATCAGATTTGATAATCATGTTATCACACTGAAATTAACTTAGCTTTGCTTTATCATTAGAAAAGAAATCATTTGTGAATGTATTGTTTTTGCACCTTTCACACTGATTAAAAAGTGCTGTCAAAAGCAATGCAAAGGATTGGCTACTATTACCTTGAAAAAAGAGTTTTTTTTTTTAAATACAGTAGGTGTTTTACGTTTGAAACACTATTTTGCAAAATGAGAAAAAAATGCTTGTACTTTCTTCATTTTTTAAATAAAAGATTGCATACAATGTTATACATTTAATGGTAATTATTGACAAACTAATAACTGCATGTTTTCTTTTTTTCACAGATTAATCGATATCTTAATGGACTCATTCATCGATTATGGAAATAGTTGCAGCTATAAACTGAAGAAAAACTTAATCTGGTGGAAATCAAATCTATATCGCTAATATCACCTGTCCATTGCTAATGGTGCCTTTTGTTCACCATTCTTAAAAACCAACTACTGCTCAACGTCTCCACTTGAACTCCTCTAGCTCAACTACAGACAGCATATCTTTAGCAGGACTCAACACTGAAACATGGCTTATTGCGAGAGATCCCCTAGACATTTTCAATCTCAAAGTAGATGTATGTTCAAACTGGGGTCCCCGTGTGCTTTGAAGCTTGAGAGTGCTAAGTGATAGATGAGGAGCGTAGGCTGTTCCACAGAGGTGCAGAATTTAAACAAAGGCAGTGCTTTCACTTCAGTAACATACGTGAAATTCCAGTGTCATAAGGCCTTAGCTAATCTGGAGTTGTGATTAGAGGTTACATGGCAATATTATGAGTCACAGACTCAGGGATCAAGGTCTTTATGATATTATTTGAGAGAAGACCATGGAGGAGACTATATATATATGAGTCAAGCAGCTTGGCAAAAGCATTAAACCTATGACATATCCAGACCGGCTTCTATGCCAAGTCAAACAGTCGTGGGGCCCTGAGCAACGTTGATGGAGGATGGCTGAGCGACAGACAGCGAGGAGAGAGACTGGCATGCAAAAACAATGCACAGGTGATTTATTCCAAGCTTGTCTTGAGTAACGGTGGAATGATCCACTCAAAGCATGACTCAATTCTCTAATGATTTCATGATTCGATATGGTCATGATATTTTGAACAAAATTTCAATGAGAATGAAGAAAAATCATGACTGTGTTCATGTTGTTACATAACTTATTAATGAGTTTGCATTGAGTTTGACATTTCTAAACCAACCAAATGCTTTTTTAAGGTGGTGTTCAAAGTAGGGGTTATGACTGACACAAGAAATTGTCCAGCGGATATTGCCCAGCAAACAGTATTGCAGTAACATGGTACAAAATAATGTAATTACTTTTATTGACTTATAAGTAATGCAAGTAAATTCTTATTATGTCTTAAACGAAGCAATGTTAATTACATGCAATGTACTTGAAACACACATTTCCTCTATATATATTATCCATGCATGTCCTTTTATCTAACTGCCTGGAACAGTTGACTGTGTGACTCTGATTATGAATATGACTAGCACAGTTAAAGCATGGGAAACACCAGTAATGTAGCAAACAATCTGTCGAAGCATCTAATCAAACTATTATGTAACTAATGGATAAGATTGCTGGGCTAAAGAAGAGAGACTCACAACCTCACCTAAACAGGCCAGACATGATTTCCATTGAGGAACAGCTCTGTAAGCTTTAGATTTCATTCTTAAAGGTTTTATTTTGAGGCCGCTGTTTTTGAGCAGTTTCTACTGAGTGGTTTATAGGTTCTTTAAACAGCTTTTGCCATTTATAATTTTAATCAGTATAACTGGCCGTGTCTTGTTCAAAGTCAGGAACAGTGCCAGACCTTTTGTAAATAACTCTTTACTATGATTGGCTAAGGCTGTTTTCAGGAGGTTTCAGGAGGTTTTTGTGACATTTTTTTTTATTTGGTTTGACTGGTTTCACATTGTAACAGCTAAAGTGAACCGAACTAAAAATTCTTGCTTGTTTATTCAGTGTGTTTAACTTCCTGCCCATCACACCCATATATACTCTTCTCTCTCTTCGCTTCACAAAACACAGGTGGCTTCATCACCATTCAGATGCAGATGTTTGGTGGAATAGGCTCTGCTGTCTGAACGCAGCCTAAGTCTTTCTAAATAAATTACTGAAAAGGCTATTGAATCTTGGTACAGATTTGTATGAGTTTTAAGTTTTAGAGAGCAACTTAGAAGTAATGTTATAAAGTAAAGTAATCCCATTGGTCATTTGTAGTGGATTACTTTGTTTGAGTAACTACCCAAACACTGCCAACAGACAACAAACTTGTTGTTAGTGTCATGGATGTTAGCTAGCATGGCTGAAAAGTCCACAAACAGGACTTGCATGTTGTATGAGACTGAACATGCTGGTGTGGGTTAAGATGATTGTGGCCCTTGGTGTTCAATTGCAATTGCATTAGACAGCACACACAACTACAACTACACACAATAAAGCTTGTCCACAATGCATGCTATGTTTTTGCACTGCAGTGTTTTATGTTGTGATATACTGTTGCATGCCCAGTCCAGAGGAAAAAAGAGAGTCTGCCACAGTTGAGTGTGAGCAGTGTGGATTGAAATGGTCTACTCAGGGAAGGTGAATGCCAATTCGACATGACATCACTGCAGTGAGAGTGAGGCTGTTTTTGATTCCAGTGGCCCCAGGTGGACACAAGACTCCTGAATGGTGACCAACACACACATATGTAGCTACCACAGCTTCGATGCTTCCGGCGCTCTCGTCAAAACGGCCGCTCCGAACAGCAGCGCATAACAAATTTTCTCTCTGACCAAAAGAAAACAGGATCTGACAAAATCATGGATATGTTACAGTTTTGAAAGTAAGCAGTGCTGATCTAAGATCTGTTAAGGCTATAAATGACTCCCTCAAGGGTAATGGCCATGTATGCGTGCACACATGCTCACTTGCGGAAGAAAAAACCCAAACGCGCATTGATGTGGCTAGTCACACGCACTGAATTAATCATCATAATGATAATGATAATACTTGTCATCAATGTGACTCAGATTGCAAATTACAGATTACATGTAATTGTGGAAATTTCATAAACATTGTCAAAATATTGATGTATTTGATATGTACAAGTGCTGTGAAATGCAGCCAATTTGTAATACATGAAATATGTTCACGTTATGAGGTTCTGCTCAGGGAGAGTCAGAGGAAGCTCACAACGGAACCTCTAACCAATAGAAGGTCAGCAAGAGGCTAAATGAGAAGGATCCAAGGCTTTCTGGACCACAATTTGAGCAGAAGAAAAAATAGAGGGTAGGAGAAGAAGAGGAAAGATAACAATAAATGAAATAATAACAATATTAATGATAATCATAATCAGAATTAGAAGAAAGAGACAAAAAAGAGGCGGAGGAGGAGAAGAAGAATGAGATGAAGAAGAATGTGAAAGAAAATAAGAAGAAAAAAGAAGAGGAGAAGAAAGAGGAGGAGGAGGAGAAGAAGAAGAAGGTGGCAGAGAAGAAGAAGAAGATGGAGTTGAAGAAAGTAGAATAGAAGAAGAAGAAGAAGTAGAACAAGAAAAACAAGAAGAAGGAGGAGGAGGAAGAGAAGAAGAATGAGATGAAGAAGAAGGCGGAAGAGAAGAAGAAGATGCAGGAGAAGAAAGCGGAATAGAAAAAGAAGAAGAATGTGGGGGAAAATAAGAAGAAGAAAAAGAAGAAAGAGGAGAAGAATGAGATGACGAAGAAGAAGGTGAAGGAGGAGAAGAAGAAGATGGAGGAGAAAAA